CAAAAAAAAAAAACCCAACTAGATCGACCCAAAGGACAAAACCTTATTTAAAGAAAAGAAAACTAACCTAAATCTGAAAAACCTATTTTGAAAGGGGGGATGTCACTTTACCTTCCTACATGTCTTACCAACTTTACAAAGTTTACTTGACCCTTCCCCCTTCATATTTTTGGTATTTTGCTATATGAATTTTATACAAGTGGTGGGTATTGATCGGGGTGGGGTCCGGATACCCCCCTCCCCCCCCCCCCCTGCGGATCCCTTACTGCTTCCTCTAAGTAATCGATATACCTTTGTAACGACAACCTATGCAAGAGTGTGTTTTAAGGAAGCTCTAAACACCAAGGGAAAAATGTTTTTTAGACTTTGAGAACATTTTATCATATAAAGGTGTACATTATGAGCTAATCTAGTTCATTTCCAGGATAAAGTGTTCAAAGACAATCGAGTGTTAGTGAACAGAAATCACTGTTGTTTACTTAAATTGGTAATCAGTATGTAAATACTGTATTCAATTACTTTATCTTGGTTTATTAAACCTCTACTGATTTTTTCCCTATATAACATTAGATCGTTAGATGTGACTAATTCCCTATAAATCGTTAAGAATGGACTAATCCCCGTGTGTTAGTCAAGTAAGCTAATCCTTGCTTCGAAAGCTAATTCACGGTTATCCGTAATCCTCTAGATTTTACTTTTACATTGGTGTGATATGTGAATGGACTCATGTCCATGTGTTAGTTCAGTGAGCTAATCCCTGCTTTGAAATCACGCTATCTGAATCCTCTACATTTTACGTTTGTATCGGTATAAAAAACAGTTAAAGGTATATCATCTGGACCAGGACTAAAAGTATATCATTTCGACCAGGACTATTTCCCTCGGCTTCACCTCGGGAAATAGTCCTGGTCTTGGGGAACTGGAACTTGCTAACTCCCTCAATGATAATTATACTTTAACTGTATACAGTGTTCGAAATTAGCGTCGGCCCGTCGGTCCTGCGCCGACGTACAGACGGAAGGACTCACGAATAGTATGACTAAATGGGTCCTTGAAATAATTTTGGGCCGATGATGATTTCTTCTTTTCATGTGCATTTTAAATAAATACTGAAGATTTAATTTTTTTTCCTTCTGGAAAAAATTTACGCTATATGTATGCGGTTACAAACTTTCTACAGAAAATTGTCCAAGTATACTTAAGTACATTTTAACAACATATTGTGGTAATCTAAGAAACCTGTGTAATTTTCTACCCGCCGATTTTAAAAACAGAAATTGTAATTCCAAGGAAAAATCTAAACACATGTTAAGCTCTTTGCATGTTATATATGACCAAGTAAGACTGTTTGACGATTAATGTTTTACCGTTTCATATTGTTAATACTTGCGAGTTGTAGTTACCCTTTATTAAATTGACATATTTCATATGAAGCGATAAACTTACCGAGATCATCAATACGTAAAAGTTTATTTTTCCCAAATATTTTATGGTATAATTTTTGGGCCTACGCTGCCCTGGAAGGACTCATGTGGTCCCTTTCTCTGTGGGTCCTTTGGACCCATAGAAAATAATTCTGAATTTCGAACACTGACTGTATAATAATATAATATTAAGAATACGTCAATTTAATATTGTGAACCTGAACTCTTGAAAATAGATGGCCATTTGTTTATAACAAACAGAAAGCAATATTAATTTTATTTTGTAATTCGGGGGAAAGGAAGCAGGCAGTACAGTTGATATTTTTACGTTCTAAGGGGGGGGGGGGGGGGGTCTATTCAAAGAGAACTTTGATTACATGAAATATTTATAGTTCCTATATCACGTATAGTAGGCGTAGAAATTAAAGCATAAGTAATTAGTAATTACTTAGTAAATAATTATTGATAATTAATTGTATATTTTCAAGATGACAAAAAATAAAAAAGGAAAAAAAAAGGGGTTGACGTGGAAAAAGTATCATTATGTTCATCGTGGTAATGAAATTTCAAGTAAAACTTTACCATTTACCCATGCAGGGGGCAGGTTCACATTTTTTTTTTTCGACATGAAACATTTTTTGAATCGGAATCAGCACTGAAACTACGTTCCTGAACTTTACGTATTATGGATAAATTGAGAGTATGAACAGGTTAAACAAAGAAAATGCACACAAGCATTATTTAAATAACCTGTGAGAACGACATTTTCTACAAAATCCAGCACCGAGGAATCCTTTTCACAATAAATCCGATGCTTATACATGTACATTGTATGTGCATTCATTAATCATTTTCTATGTTCTATGACACCCTATTTATATTTTATTTCAATTTTACCATTCAGTTGAAACAATTAACAAGAATAAAATCAGCTATATTTTCTACGATCACTGCATTACAGTTCGAGAATATTTCACTTATCCACAGAGATTTGTGGATATATACTTATCATTTCTTAGCAAAGATTAATATTTGTTTTAGTAAACACAAATCAGAATTTCAGTTTTGCATGTGCGCGCAAAAAGGCAATACTTTTTTGGATATCAATACAGAAGGAGCACAAGTAAACTACGTGATTCTTGACAATCAAAAGAAAACATTTTTTTATCCTCTTCCATTCGTTATAATTACTGCTACATTATGTTTTCTTGCTATATACAGTTTCCATAGGTCGTCAATCTACAGTGTATATATAGTAATGTTAAGAATATAAGAGGAGCAATTGGACCTGACTCCCTTTCATCCGATATTGATCATCACTCATGTAGTATTTAATACCCCCCCCCCCCCTCTCAAGCTATTTGTTTACTTTTTTTTTTTACATTATTATTATTTTACATTACACCTAACCTTTATTTAATTTTATTAAGTACATAAAAAAATCGGAACTGATCTACATTTCACATATTTTACACTGAGAAGCGCATTGTTAAATCTATTGTGATATTTTGCCAAGTTGTCTTCTATCTTAGAAAGTTAGCCTCTAATTTTCACTATAATAGCTCAAAATATTCATGTCCATGTACATGTAAATAGTCCATCTTCCGAACAGGCCAAATAGATCGGCGAAACCATTGTGACGTCAATTTTCAAAAATGACGTATAAATTGTTTTAATGTTCAGCTTCACATGATTATGGACACAGGCACTGGGCTATAAACTAAATGTAAAATAACATTTATAAATACGACCAGTGTAAATACTGCATTTTTTCCCTGAACTGCCACTTTCTTTAACCACCTAACGTTAAGATTACAGTCTAACTCGGACCACTGTCTCTTACTTAGGGGGCGCGGAAGTAAGATGCTATAGATAGACTAATATAGGCCCAATGTATTTGAATTCGAACAACATGTAAAGAATTAATACATACCAGATCTTCATAATATTGATGTTATGATTTTATGCTTGATATTAAAGGATTTTTTAGCGATGGTGGCGAGGTATATTCTCAATATTATTTATATCTGGCAAATGACCGTCTAATGTATTTGTATTGCATGCTGTAAAATGAACACATATTTTGAAAATAAACATGGTCCGCACAATATCACCATCGTAATTTTTTGCATATAAATTGCTTTCATATCGATGTTTCATTTGTGAAAATTTCAAAGTGGTGATATGATGCGGACCTATCGAAAAATGCTTTTAAGTCCCTGATTTTTAACGATTATTCCGGAAATACGCATTCCGTGCATGATTTGACCACGAATAAACAGTATACAGGGGACACATTCTCAAAGTTTGGGTTTATTTTTTTAACAAGCATATATCCAACCTTTATTTTCAATGTAAAGTTTTGATTCAGCATAAACTTTAATTTTTAGAAATTCTCAGGGCCAAATATTATGTCAAATGAACCTTGTTCTTTGACCAATCATGGCTTCGCTGTTCTTGAGAAGAAGATTTTTGAAGATTTTTCCTATATTCTCCTATGTTAAACTTTAATCGTCGTCCATTGTGGCCCCACCCTACCCCCGGATGGTCATGATTTGAACAAACTTGAACCCACACCACCTGAGGATGCTTCCAAATAAATATTACCAATCATTGCTCTGTTGTTCTTGAGAAGAAGATTTTTGAAGATTTTTCCTATATATTCCTATGTAAAACTTTGATCGTCCATTGTGGCCCCATCCTACCCCCGGGGGTCATGATTTGAACAAACTTGAATCTACACCACCTGAGGATGCTTCCATATAAATATGACCAATCATAGCTTTGCTGTTCTTGAGAAGAAGACTTTTGAAGATTTTTCCTATATATTCCTATGTAAAACTTTGATCATCCATTGTGGCCCCACCCTACCCCCCGGGGTCATGATTTGAACAAACTTGAATCTACACTACCTGACAATAATTCCATATGAGTTTCAACTTTCCTGGCCCATTGGTTCTTGAAAAGAAGATTTTTCCATAATGCCATTAATTTTTCGCTATTTCGTAATTTATCTCCCCTTTGAGGATGGAGTGGCCCTTCATTTGAACAAACTTGAATCCCCTTTACCCAAGGATACTTTGTGCCAAGTTTGATTGAAATTGGCCCAGCAGTTCTGGAGAAGAAGATGAAAATGTGAAAAGTTTATGACAACAAAGACGACGACAACAGACAACAGACAAATTTTGATCAGAAAAGCTCACTTGAGCCTTCGGCTCAGGTGAGCTAAAAACTTTTAATTTCTTTTGACCTGATGATATGTCATCAAATTCTCATAATTAATTTCAAATTAGGACTATATCATGCAATCGCTACCTCCTAATACAAAGAATATATATACCAGGGTATATATATATAAGAGTTGAAACCCCCATCCACCCTTTTTTCAACACACACATATATATATATATATGAAATAGTAATTTAGTGAATTTCAGAATTTTATTCAAATGAGGCAGTTGAGTAAAGAAAAATATATGAATTATATTTTTGCATCCATTAACCTGAGTAATCAAACATGTCCTGTTAATACAAGTTCCACAGTGAATTTTAATCATTATTAATAAAACTGCTTACTTGTAATAATGCTTGAGATCCTGCAACATTTTTTCTGAGCGAGTGAGCCGAGTCTGACTTTCTTCCTGCTTCTGTTTCTGTTGAGCCAGGTCTTTTTTATACGCCATCTCAAGATTTTTCACATTCTCTGAGAAGAGCATTTTCTCTGAGGCCACCTTATCCAGCTCCGACTTCAGCATCCCATAATTCTCTACCATTTCCAATTTCTCCTTTTCACTCTGCTTAAGTTCCAACTCTATACTCGTAAACTTAGCTTCCATTTCAGATTTTTCACACAGAATTTCCTGCCATTTTGCTTTTAATCTCTCGGATTCTGATCGAATAGTACAAATCACATCATTTTCTGACCTCAACTTCTCACATTCGGCCTTGAGTTTCTGAACCTCGACCTCTTGACCCTTTTGCTCATTAAGTCTCCTGTCTTGGTTCTCTAACTTCCCCTTTAATTCCTGAATTTCTTTCACATATCTCTTACTCTCACCAAAGCCTTGTTCCTTCATGACTTTTATCTCCTCTTTCAATTTCTTGTTCTCCTCCCCGAGTTTATGAACTTGACCTTTGACCTTATAACTTTCATCCGTGACCTTGTGGATCTCATCAATCACTTTCTTATTTTCTTCAGTGACTTTGCCCAATTCAGTCCTGAATCTCTCTTTCTCATGTCTAAGATCCATTAATTTTGCCTCCAGTTCAGACCTATCAGATTTGTCCAAATGGTTTCCTTTTTCGAACTCTTTCTTCAAATTTAGTTTTTCAGCATCAAGTCGACTTTGATAGGCAGATTCTAGTTCTAGACGTAGGCGGTCCACTTCCTGTGAAAGATGTCTGTCGGCTTTCTCAAGAAGCTGGTCTCGCTCCATCACTTCCTGTTTCAAGCGGTAGTTCTCCTTTTCCCATAACTCTCTCTCTTTCTCGTGCTTCTCATTTTCTCCTGATGTGAGATGCAAGCTCTGAAATATTTTTAAATCTCTTACTTTAAGAAAGAACAGATTTAGATTGGATTTTTCTGCAAAATTTTTGTTTTCAAACAGAAAACAGAGATAAACATGATAAACATGAAGTGAAAGTCCATCTAGTATTGAGTAAAACATGGCTACAGCAAACACCCTTACAACGAATATTAATGAACTCAGGCTTACAGTGAAGTGCTTTTAATTCCCTAGTTCTAAAACAATAATGAACTTAACAAATATAACAAATTATGTTTTAGCAAATTATAATTTTTCTTCCCTGGCACTTCACTATAGGCATGTTTTACTGCCCCAATGGAAAAAAATATTAAAGATGAATCATTTAACAAAGACAAATAATTCAGAAAGGAAAAAAAATGACTTGTTAAAATATTAAGTTATCTCTCTTAGTAAATCAGAGTTCTACAAAAACCTTATCAGAGGTGGTGCTATTTAAAGCTTCCTTCAACTGGATCTCATTAAACTGGTGCTTCCTGATCTCCTCAGCATGTCTCTTCTCCAGCTCCATCTGCAAAAGTACGGGAAATTTAATTCTGTCATAAAAAGAAAAATTTAAATGATGCTGTTTTTCAGAAATCCAAATTCTGAAAACTGTAGAATTCATGTAGAAGAATTCTGTATCAACCATCACCATTTTTCATTATTTGTGTGTGGAATTCATATCACAGAATATATTGATGTAAGACATAACCCTCAACTTACTTCACCAATATTATATTTAGAGAATATACTGTCCATACCTATTCCAAATGCAGTTTTCATTGCAAGTGCGAAATTGTTTGGTGATCATGGAAAAAGTTTTGGCAAATTCTCTTTACCAAATCTTCATAGATCAAGATTTATCAGTAAGAAATTGTGTAAAACAGTGGAAACAAACTACAGTGTTGACTGTGCGAATCTTTTAGTGTAAATTGCTACGTGCTTTACCTTCTCCCTATTATGTTGTTCACGTGCAGTTTTCAGTGCTAGTGTCAGTGTGTCATGGTGGTCGGACGTAAACTGCTCATAATCTTTCTCACACTGATCTTGTACCTCCTCCACTGCTTGTTTTCGCTCAGCGTCCTTCTGTCTTAACAACTCGGACTTCTCCCTCCGGAACTTTTCCTCCCGCACTTTTAATTCCATGGTCAGCGATTCCAGGTCTTTTTTCAGTGTCTCTATTTCCTGTTATTTGAAAACAATGATTTTATTGCAAAATCTGCTCACAACAACATTTTGACTGATAAAATTTTATGGACCTCTCTCATGTACAGTACATGTTTCTCTCAATTGCATATGCAAAATTTTAAAATTATGAGTATAATGAACAAGAGGCCCAAGGGCCTTAACGGTCACCTGAGTATGATACAACAATTTCAAGGATGCATAGAGTATTAAATGAACTGAAAGGTGAAGCTTTGTTGCCCAAAAGCAAGAAAAATAGGGTGATCATGATCAACAAAATAATTGGTCTTAATATTCATTAACAGTTCATAAATTAGGTTCTAATCTGTTCCCCATTTTATCACTATCACTATACAGTATATTAACAAATTATCAATGCTTCTGTACTATTTTAATCCTTTGTTGAAATCTCTTACATTGGCATCTCTTGGTCTTTGATGAATATTTAATAAGACAAGTAATTTTTGTCTCATTTTTATTTATCTACTACTTACAAGTCTATCTGATCATTAAAACTATGAAAGTACTTTTTGTATTATACAATAAAAGTTTTTGCATAATTCTCTTGTTCTATTTACCTTTCAAGTACATTATTTACAGTGATAAATTATCAAAAGTAAATGGCAAAGGGGAATAACTCCTCTCAGTAGAATACAAACTAATAGAGCCCTGGCCAGGACCAGAACACTTGACCAAATGGTCCAGATGTTCAAAAATCTGGTAAAAATTCCCTTCCTTATAAAAACTTTTACTCTGTTTGCCTCAGATATGCCCAGGTGCGGAGAAGATTTTTAAATAAATAATGCATTTTTACTACAGATTCACTATATTATCAATAGAGCCCCAACCCCCAACCCCCCACCCCCAAAACACCAGAGCTTCTGACCCTGGGACCATATGTTTGCTCATCATCACTTTGTTTATCTGCTTAACACTAAGGAGCAAACAGGATTATTTAATAGAATTAATGCATTTTCACTAAATTATCAAGAGCCCCACCCTCACACCAGCACATCTGACCCAGGGGTCATGAAATTCACTACTCTGGAAGAAGCACACTTGCTCATCATAACTATACACTTAGCTTCTTTGCTTTTTTAACCAGAAGAAGAAAAGAATATTTTCAAAGAAATTTTGCTTTTTCACTTTATAATCAATAGAAGCCCCCCCCCCCCCTTCCCCCTCACCAGAACCCTTAAACCCGGGGTCATAAAATTCACAATTTTGGAAGAGGCATCCTTGTGTATCATAACAATGTACTTTAGTCTGTTTAAGCAATACCCAGGGGCAGAGAAGAAGATTTTCAAAGAAATAATTCACCTTCACTATAGGATCTATATAGCCCCGCCCTAGCACCAAAACTCCTGTCCCCGGGGCCATGAATTTCACAATTTTGGAAGAGGCATCCTTGCTTATCATAACAATGTACTTAGTTTGTTTAAATAATACCCAGGTGCTGAGAAAAAGATTTTTAAAGAATTAAAACATTTTCACTTCATAATCAATAGAGCCCCGTCCTAACACCAGAACCCCTGATCCAGGGGCCACGAATTTCACAATTTTGAAAGAGGCATCCTTGATTATCATAACTATGTATTTAATGTGTTTCAATAATACCCAGGAGTAGAGAAGAAGATTTTCAAAGAATTAATGCATTTTCACTATATAATCAATAGAGCCCCACCCTAACACCAGAACCCCTGACCCAGGGGCCATGAAATTCACAATTTTGAAAGAGGCACTCTTGCTCATCATAACTATGTACTTAGTTACTGAACTTAATACCCAGGAGCAGAGAAGAAGATTTTCAAAGGATTAATGCATTTTCACTATATAATCAATAGAGTCCCGCCCTAACACCAGAACCCCTGACCCAGGGGCCATGAAATTCACAATTTTGGAAGAGGCACTCTTGCTCATCCTAACTATGTACTTAGTTAGTTTATTTAATATCCAGGAGCAGAGAAGAAGATTTTCAATGAATTAATGCATTTTCACTATATAATCAATAGAGCCCCACCCTAACAGCAGAACCCCTGATTCAGGGGCCATGAAATTCACAATTTCTGAAGAGGCACTCTTGCTCATCATAACTATGTTTTTAGTTAATTTCTTTAATACCCATAAGCAGAGAAGAAGATATTCAAAGAAATAATGCATTTTCACTATATAATCAATAACCCCCCCCCCCCCCTTCACCAAAACCCCTGACCCAGGGGCAATGAAATTCAAAATTTCTGAAGAGGCACTCTTGCTCATCATAACTTTGTACTTAGTTAGTTTATTTCATACCCATAAGCAGAGAAGAAGATTTTCAAAGAAATAATGCATTTTCACTATATAATCAATAGAGCCCCCCCCCCCTTTCACCAGAACCCCTGACCCAGGGGCCATGAAATTCACAATTTTGGAAGGGGCATTCTTGCTTATCATAACTGTGTACTTAGTTAGTTTATTTTATACCCAGGAGCAGAGAAGAAGATTTTTGAAGAAATAATGCACTTTTACTATATGATCTATATAGCCCCACCCTAGCCCCAGAACCCCTTACCCTGGGGCCATGAATTTCACAATTTTGGTAGAGGGCTCAATGCTTATTACAATCATGCTAACAGTTTGACTGCTTGATGTCCAGGAGTAAAGAAGAAGATTTTTAAAGATTGCATTAATTTTAGTGGTTTTTGCCCCACCCCTCGGGCCCCAGGGGGGCAGGGACCATGAAATTCACAAATTTTGTCCCCCTTCACCCATAGATGTTATATGCCAAATTTGGTTGAAATTGGTTGAGCGGTTTCAGAGAAGAAGCTGAAAATGTTCAAATGTTAACGCACGACGCACGACGCACGCCGACGGACGAAAACGGATAGCAATAGGTCACCTGAGTGACTCAGGTGACCTAAAAATGGCCTTTGGGGGCACTGAGAGGTTAAGAAAGTAATATTAAAAAAAGCAAACATGTCTACATATATTTTTGGTAAAGGAAAATTGTGGAAAAAATCAGATTGCTGGAATTAGAATGACATTTTATTTTGCTCGACTCTGAAGTTTAGTAGATTTACTGTACTTTGCCAAATCAATTGAACAGTGATGATTCTGTGAATTGGCCAAAATATCTGAAATAGTTTGGGGGTTGAGGAGCTGACAAAATATGGGCTTTTACAAGCCAAAAATGGATTTAAATGAGTGACAAAAATTGAGGTGTGACAGTTTCTTCAACAACTTTTACATCTTGACCTGGCTGAATGAACAGCCATGCCACTGTAAGGAAGTCTGAATCATCCCTACGTTTGTGTTTACCTAACTAGGAGATAAAATCAAATGTCTGGATGGTGCAGACTAGATCAAAACACGGACAAAACAACATGAATTTTTCACCCAAACAAAAATGGAAACGGATTGTTGCAAAATAGAAAGTACCAAAATTTGGGAAAACACTCCTAAATATCGGATTCTTGGACTCAAATAGTGGAATTCCGATAAATATCAGAACAGAATCATCACTGATTTAATGAACTTAGCGACTGTACTCTCTCTCACAAGTCTGGGTGTATCAAACATACAAGATTACCTCTTTTAACACACTCTGGGAAATCTCGAAAGATGAATTATTGGCCGCTGTCTCTGCATCTTGTTCTTTCTGCCACAGTTTCTTGGCATCATCCAAGGCTAATGAAACCTGAATGCAAAATTAAAGTTGAATATTCTTCTCATTTTCTGAATTGTTGGTTTCAGAAATATCATTTAATCCTAGTATCAAGTTTTTTTTCTTTTTTGCCTTGTACCATCCTTCTCCATTTAATGACCCTCTATACACCAGTGCAAAATGGGTTTTTTTTGGACAATGAGAAAATTATACTGTATTAATGTGTTTACACTGAGCTTATCTATTAAATTTTCAATATATGGTACGTGGCATCTACACTCAAGAAAAATATTCAAAGACAACAAAGTATCAATGAAAAGAAATCACTGTTGTTTAGTTCAGTGGAGAAAATACATGCAGATAAAGTGTTCAATTAATTTATTTTGGCCTTTTAAAATGTTTAGAATGCTTGAATTGATTATAAACTGAGTAATACACACTAGATTTCAATTTATTTGAATTTTGATCTAAGGGCAGATCACTCTAACTGAAGAAAAATAACACAGAATCAGAACTCTTTAGTGTGCACTGTAGAGAGGGTTCTTAAAGATAAAAAAATGTAACTATGATAACAATCTACAGAGATTGGATCCAGAGGTAATTCATTATAAATAAGACATTAATAGATAATATACAATCTTAGAGAGGCATACCTCAGCAGCAATGCGCTCCTGGATGGACTCCTCCATGCCGTCTTGGATTTTCTGCACATTCTCTTCATGGCTGTCCTCCCATTCTCTGCGAGCCTGCTCTACAGCAGCCTGAATTTCCTCTGACAACTTCCTGTCTGATGCTGCTTTCCACTGGGTCCGTTCCTGTGAGATCCTCTCCTCCACTTCTGTTTCGATCCTCTCCTGTGTTTGCAATTCCAGGCTCTGCTCCCAGTTCTTCCTTTCTTGTTTTACCTTCACTTGGATCTCCTTTTCCTTAGCTTCATTCCATTTTTGCTAGAAAATACACAAAAATTTCACTTTAAATTTCTGTTTTACTTTAATGTTTGAATTTTTTTTTATTTTTCAGGAACTTGAATTCATCTTTAGAACACTTCAAGCATTAACCAGGAATTTCAGGCAAAGGGATAATGCTCATACATCATAACTTATTGTTTATCTTTCTTTAAAATCATGAAATAAAAAAAAATTGTGACCTAATTAAAAATTGCCATTTGACTTTCTTCTATGACCTTTGACCTTTCATGACCTAGATTTACCTTCTCTGTTTGGATCCTCTGTAGAATATCTATCTCTGCTTTCTCTTTCCAGTCCTCCCGCTCCTTTTGGATCCTCTCCCTTAATTCCACCTCAGATTTTTTCTGCCATTTCTCCTTCTCTTTCTTCAACCAAGACTCCTTATCTGACTCTGTCCTGAAATTTCAAAGAAAAAGAATAGATTATTTCAAAAGCCGAAATCCCTGAACTTTTATTCCTTCAGAAAAGATACCCTCTGCTCACATTTTTTTCTAAATTATTTTATTTAAAGATAAACTAAAGGAGACAGTAAAAGAATGTAAGTAAAGTGTGGTGTATCACATGGGACAATGGTTGAAACAAAACATGGTCAATGAGGAAAAATTTAAAAAGATACTAATTTCTGAGTTTTAGCATAATCTCCCTTAGTTCGCAGTAATTCCTTCTTTTTAATTTTAATAATGCCCTTGATATGAAAATTTTAATTCATTTACAGTCAAATTTTTAACAAGGCAAAATTTTAATTCAAATATAAGCCAATGAAATTTGGTTCATAAAAAATGTTCTACAATTGTTAAACTTATTATGCATTTTAATATTTATTTGCTTGTCAAAAACCAAACATTTGCAATGAAGGTTTCCTGTTTAATAATCTTTTTAGAGTCTTTCACTGTTTTCCAAGTTTTATTTATCCATGAGATGGAGTTACTTGGTATTCGCAATTCACAAAACTTTGATATTTTTCACATGAGTATAAAAGTTGCTTTACAGCATTATAAGAGAAAGATAATTCAATGTCAAACTAATCATTGCTGTAACTTACTTAGATGTGACCTTTGACCTCTCCCTCTCGACTGCCCGCTTCATTTCCATCTCAGCCTCTCTTTGACATTTCTCAATGGCCTCTGTCACCTTCCTCTGTATATCCACCTCTGTCGCCTTCCCCCACTCCGCTCGCTCCTCTCGAAATTTCTCCTCCACCTCTCTGTCCCAGGCATCCTTTTCAGCTGACAGACTTTCTGCTGCCAATTTCTCCCAAGCTCTCTTTTCTGACATCAGTTTTTCCTGTAAATAAAACACTTCATTGTTCCTACGCATATATACGTGGAGGACAAGTTTTGAAAAAAGAAATTGAGGATGTTTTAAAATTATTTCGAATAGTATATTTTGCAAGTAAGGAAATTTGAAGGGCTGAATTCTGATGATTGAAAAAGTGAAAAACCACCTCCTGCCTCCCCTTATTGAAAGCACTGACTAAGTACTCTTTTTTTGCTTGAAATCATTGGCGAAAGGGAAAAAATTTAAAAAGAAATATTTAAGGACCCTCTCTACACTCCACCCTCATTTCAGGGTACTTTTGTGTAGTAGACTGACCCATCATTTGATAAAGAAATAGAATAAATTGTAATTCTAAACATTATATTAGACCAAGATAGAGTAGTTGAAAACTTTATTTGCATGTATTTTCTCCATTTGAGTAAACAAAAGCGAATTTTATTTATAATTACTTCATTATCTTTGAGGATTTTTCCTGGATAAAAAAGGCACGCTCCCTATTAAAAATGCATTAGTTAATTTCAAAATATCCTCCTTTACGCAATATAATTTTCTTAAAGTCCAAAAAACATTTTTCATCAGTGTATAGAGGGTCCTTAAATACATGCTAGGCAATGTCAGAACTTCCACTATATACATGTAATCCAAACTGATACAAATTGATCTTTATGTTTTGCTGACTTGTTTATCTTTTCTTACCTCTGCTTGCTTCTCCCACAATGATTTTTCTTTCTCAAGCTTTTCTTGTGCTTCTTTTTCCCACAATTCTCTGTTGTCCGACACTCTTATCTGGTTCTCTTTCTCTAGTTCCCTTCTCAATGTTTCTCTCTCCTCCTTTAGTTTTTCTTGTATAATTCTTTCTGTGTCCTTCTCTAAGCTTTCCTTCTCTGCCTGAATTTTCTGTTTGAGCTCGTTCTCTGACGTCTTCCTCCACTTTTCTCTCTCTTCTTCCACTTTCTGTTTGAGCTCGTTCTCTGATGTCTTTTTCCACTTTTCTCTCTCTTCTTTCACTTTCTGTTGGAGCTCATTTTCCGCAGTTTTCTTCCACTTTTCCTTTTCCTGATTCAGCTGAGAGTCGAAAACTTCCTTCCTTTGTGCTAGCCACTCTGTCTTAGCTACAAATACAACAAATCACAATCAATTTCCTCCCAAATACTGTTAACCAACTTTTGTGACATTCAAGGAACATTCTTGAATTGTGCAACCTTCTTCTACTTGTGAAAATCACTGTGAACAATTTATCTGTGTATTTAGATAGTCTTAGGATGTCTCCTCAATCACAATTAGTAGTTGTGTTTGCATATGGATTTGAAACTCACAATCTCGAATAAAAGTTGTCATGAATAAAATAGTTAAAGTGTACATCTTAACTATCCCTAAAGTGCATGTGTTGGAAGTTTAAAGAGATTAGTATATGGGAGATATATATAGAATCTAACTCCAGAATAAGACGATGCCCTCACCTTCCTGTAGTCGGGACTCAACCTCTGTGTCCACTGCTGTCTCTAACTTTGCCTTCCACTCTGCCTCGGTCAGTTTGATCGCATTGTCCACTGCAGCCTGTTTAGAAGCCCTCTGTTCCTCAAACCACTCCATTTTACACATAGCAATCTGAAAATATCATATAAATAGAGATGTGATAAAAGTTCAAATCATAAGATTTTTTCAAAGTATGTAACTCTAATATAGGGCTACTCAACATAATAAAAAGGTCAAAATGAAACAGACATTTGTCAACTTCTTTTTTTTTAAATTTTTGAAATTTAACACTATTTTACAATTTACATAAATAATTTACATTAATTAATTTTGACTAATTGGCATGTCAATAACATAGCACATATGACCATATACTGTGAGTCAGTGTGAGAGAGACACAAATTAAATCAAATTGATAAACTCGATAATGGAGAAAGCAAATTTCAGACTCTAACAAATTCAGATCCACATGAGCTCTTAAGCATCATACATTCTTTAAAAAAATGAAAAATTAAGTTGGTCTAAGGGAATTCTTTAAAGTTTGTAACTGGAAGGATTTATTGATTTCTACCTTGTATAAAACTGATCCATCTTCACAGGAAATTGCTATATATATTCTCACTAACTTAAAATAAATCCAAAAAATCTGCAAGGTCAGAGTTCAATTACACAGGTCAGAGTTCAGTTACTCAGGTCAAAGTTCACTCCAATGGTCAATCACATAAGAACATTCATTCACTCCTAATGCACTAAACTGCAAATCCTAATTATGCAAGACACAGCATGAAATGGTATGCACTTTTTGTCTACAATCCTTTTATACAATGCACTTAAACATTCTGTTCTTTATGTAAGCCTTGGCCAAATATAGCAGAAATTCAGAGATGGAGTTTAAAAGTTCCTGTGCTGTAGAATGGTTGAATTATTAATGCATAGGACCAACATCATCAACTATGGAATAATGACACATAGGCCTGTCAAATTCTCTCCCACCAAAGTTAATAATTTAATCCATTGTTAATCTGTGACAGGAATTTACTAGAGCTGGACTGATTAAATACCTCCCAACCTTTACAGACAGATTTAAATATACTCATTAACAATGCAGGAATTGCACATGAAAAAAATGTCAATTGAGATATATGCGAAGTGTGTCACACTAGGTAGTTGATGATCTCTCGATTTTTTATTCATGGCAGTTTAATTCAAATGGGGTTGGGTTAAGGATGGTGTTATTTAGACTAGTGCTATGTGCATTCTGTCTGAATATTATAAATAATAATTCAAACAAAAAAAACAAACACTTATATTAGCAGTTTTGAAAGTAACATTCTTTTTTATGTACATAAAAAAAAAAAAAAAATAAATAAATCTGCTCCAAAAAAATAAAGATGGGACACCCTACTCTGATACACTTGAATTTAAAAAGAAAAACTTTCCAAGTTTGTTTCTAATTATTATTAATAATAATAAATATTTCTAATGATTTTAATAAAATAACTTATTTTAATAAAAAAATTTCTTTCCCAACAAAATTTAACTAAATTATACATGAAGGCACTTTCCTCCTTTTTTTCGGAAGGGGGTGGGACTTCTAAAGATTTAATGATTTCTAAAATTGCATCCCCTCTGCATATTGAAATCGTTGATCTGCTCCTAAAACTTAAGTCTAGAGAGAAGAAGTGGGTTGTCTTTAGGCCTTAGTTACAAGTATCAAAGCAAGTGTAAACCCATTATATTCAATAAATCCTCTTTGTATGATATTGGATCATTGTATATCGATCCTCCTCATAATGTGTTAAATGCCTCAAATTTAAATGAAATCTTTCTTGATCTCTTATCTTGTAGAGGAGCATATTAAAATAATCCAATGGAACATATCATTTTGATCAGATAGATGCACAGTAAATTATTTTATTTATCAGTCACACATTAAAACCTTATCCTTTATCTGTCCAATATACACTGATAATGACAGAAGGTTCGTCAGTGAATACGTCACCTTAGTGATTAGGGTAGATTATCAATGTGTTAGGGGGGTGACCAGAGTTACACTTATCATTGTACATTGACAACTATCGTACATCTATCTGTATACAGACACATCCTAGCTATGTGTGTGTCTGCCATGTTTGGATGCCAACCCATTCTTTAGTTAGAAAAAAAAAACAAAAACAAATAGATATTCATTTAAAATAAAAATAAAAAAACTATAAAAATACTTTTATAGCCATACAGATTAAATTGTTTTAACTATTTAATATTTTAGTGACCCATGCAGACCTGGGGAAAGCATAAAGATCATTGCAATCTGTCCATCCTTCTATCTGTCACCCTCTCACTAAAAGGTCATCTGCAGGCAATGCTCATGTTACCTAAGCCAGGGCTTTCAAAAAGATTAGAAACAGGCGGAACGTTTTCAAAAATAGGAAGTACCTTGTGGAAGCGATGTTAACTAAATATGTTATCAAATTATTCTCCAACATACATTCATGATTCAGCTGGGTAAAAATACTGGGTACCCTGGGTACCGAGACATTTTGAAAGGCCAGCTAAGCACTTTTAGTTAAATATCTGACTCACTAATTCTGGATGACAGTGTTACCAACCATATCTTGAAACACTTCCAAGGCTCTAAGGGGTTGGACTGGGCTGGGGTGTGTGGGTGTGTGGGTGTCGGGGGGGGGGGGGGGGGGGGGGGGGGGAGTGAAATGTGTAAATTGTTGCATAACTTGCATGTACCTTGCATAGACTTCTATAATGGTTACATCTGCCAGTGAATTCTCTTACAAACTTTTAAAGTTTCATGTACCTTTTGACTTCTCAATACATGGACATATGAAACTATGGACAAGATCAAAATTTTAAGAAAACTGACCAGACAATACATGTACAATCAAACACAGCCAGCATTTGCTGTTATATGCACATGGAAAAACATTATGTAGAAATGCAGAACACTGGTCGATCAGGTATCATTTACCTGCTAATTGTGTATTGAGCTCTTTAAATCTGCTGTTTTATCTTTGCAAATCAATCATGTAATTAACATGTCAGAATTTAAACCTATTTTGTGAAATTACAAACATCAATCATTTTGGAACCAAGTCTTGTTCTTTTGCATTCTCTAAACAAAAGAAAATTCCAGTGACGATGAGAAGTAAGAATAGGATAAATTCTACAAAAGATGATTCACAATCTCCCCCAACCTTAATTGTGTTAACCTTGTTAAACTTAAAACTGAAAATATATTCATTGCGCAGAAATACAACATACAATACACTACCAAAGGACCACCTGAAGTGCATGGCCATTTTAAAACCACCTTAAGTAAACCAAGGTATAACCTTTTAGATGACCTCAAGTCCACTGAGGCATGGCCAATATATGACCTAGACCACTAAGCATGACCACGCGGGTATGTTAAGGAAGCATATAAATCGTTTCTCGGGAAATTTAGACTTTTTTAATAAAATAAAGTTTGATAATTTATCAAAGTCGCCGATAAAACGTAAACTATTATTAACTATTATATAAAGACAACAAAGTGTCTGAGACCAAGAAGTGCACCACCACAACGTCATCAGGTGACTGTTATTAATAGCAAAATATTCCTTAATAAAAAAGTTAACAGAACAACAATACCCCGGGGTTTGATAATTTCTTTTAGTAAATAATATAGTTGAAAAACATCTCTTATGCCTAAAAAGTGCTGCTAGAATCCCACTGTCCGGTCGAGAAAATAATTATTCCACATATTTGCACGAAACCTTACCCAATGTTTTGCATTTTATACATATAACCCGAGATATTTCTTCAAACCAAGTTTACCTCACGATTCTAGCAGCACTTTCCAAGTTTTATAGAACGCAATCTTTCGATATGTACTAATATCAGGTTTTGAAGTATCCAGCTTAGTGTTGTTCTTTTGCATTATTGTTGTCACGAATGACAGAGGAAAGGCCGACCGGGATACGTAAATAGTTGACTGTATTCAATAGAAGATATAATCAATAAAAATGAATTAGCATACCTGTTTAACAAACTTGAACTTCACATGAATCACACAAAATATTCACGATATTTGCTTCTAAACCCCCTTTTACGTATTTTTTTACATGCCGTCTTAGCCAAATTCTCGTTACACAACATGATCAATATTCAAGTTATTTGTTGAACATATATGACGTCATCGGTCGGAGTTTTTAATTCAGGTGACAGATACAGCATAACAAAATAAAAACATTTTATTTTTGTTAATATTTGCAAGTTTCTATTCAAATTCAGGAGTTAAATTATATCTCTAAATAACAGTATTTAGAAAACTTGTGTTCTAAAATTGACGTCATCTCGCCTACTATGACGTCATATGGTATCACTGATTTAGTCAAGTCAGATTATCTTAGTGCTTCCTTAACACACCTGCGCATTTTATGATCTAGACCATTGAGGCATGACCACTGTGAGCGCAAGAGGATACAAAATTCTTTTGTTCACTGATATATCAGTAGCCACATTTCCATGGAGATACACATTTATAATACTGTGAAAGTTAACAATTTATTTTATTTTTTAAAGTACCTTAGTTTCCAGTAACTTCTGCATGTCTGCCTCCATTTTCTTTTGTAAGGACTCTGTAACTTCTGACCGGATTTCCTCTTCATCTGCAGCCATTTCTTCCTTCACTTTCTCTACAGCCTTATCTTTCTCACTGATCAGTTCTGCTCTCAACTACAACATATGTTGTATAGGAGAAAATTATTTGTTGTGTTAATTTTTTCCCTGTATTCCTGCTCTCAATAAGTTGAAAAATTGAAGAAAAAAATTATTTCTATGTTGACAAGTCATTATAAATACAAGATAGACATACTTTAGATTGGCTAAAATTCACGTATTCCCTATATTTACACAGGACCATTATCAAAGTTCTTTCTGGAAAGTTCAGACGACCAGAGAAATGGAAATCACTAAACAAGCATATCATAATATCTGGACAGATCTTTTCTAAACTGATATCTTGAGTTCAGTCGATCTAAATGATGGTCTTTGAAAAATATGCACATCTCAGACAGACACTCCTTGAGTATTTTATATAAGCAAGAAATATATTATTGTCTATTAACAACTACTATCCTAACTGACCCCCAAACAAATAAATTTTCCAACAAATGAATCACATTCAAGGGACCTACTACATATAAATCCAATAACCTTGCAGGTCTCAACATTAAAGCATGTTTGACTGACTCAGAGTAGTAAAAGTTTGGTTCGGTAATTGCTTCAAGGTAGCCCGACTGGTTATGTAAAAATAATTTAATTCTGGTTGTAATGCGTCATTTGATTGGATAAAAAATTAGAATATATTGTATAACCTGGGTTGCCTACGTCACAATGACTTACATCAAAAACGTATCAATCCGCTTGACGTTACATTTAAAATACGTACAATTTGAAGGCATTTTTGAAGGAGAAATTGTCTTATTTTTTACACTTAATGATGGAAAATTAAATTATAAGGAATGAATTTAATAGCTACCCAAGTTATACTGGTATAACCTGGGTTGGAACAGTTTACGCTTTTTTATAAACCGCTTTGCAGTTTATAAAGCGTAAACTGCCCCAACTCAGGTTATACCAGTATAACTTGGGTAGCTATTAAATTCATTCCTTAAATATCTTGAAGTTTTAATGAAGCAAAACTATTATTTTTTTCGGATATTTCCCATACATTTATCGGTGTGTTTGATCAGGTTTTACTTTCATATTTTGATCCCAATGAAAAATAAAATAACCATGGAAAGATTAGTTTTGGTAAACTCTGTATGTTTTATTGTACTATAACAGTTTACCAGTTGGGAGACATTTATTTAATACATTGTTATTTGTATACACATTAATTTTCATTAATCTTGCAGTCACTCAATTTTCTCATAAATGCTATACCAAGAGTAACCCTTCCTGCTAGGCCATTTTATCTGACAACTGTTGTGCGGCAAATTTTAATTTAACGAGGCCAAGAACTTAATTGAGTTGAAACACGATACATCTCCCTCTCTGATATTTTCTTGAACTCAATAAAAAGAAGTTTATTCGATAATATAATTACATGTACATATTTTTTTCTGCACCAAAACCAACTTGGGATACTGTAAAATCACATATTTTCACGGGGTCAAATTTTCGAGGATTGAGAAAAAAATATGGGTTTTTGGGGATTTGAGTTCGTGGTTGGAGAAGTGTTGAGTAGTAATTAGGGATGGGTATCGGCAAAAATTTTATATCATGATATATCGCGATTTTTTTCCCAAAAATATCATGATAAATCGTGGTATTTTTACACACAATTTTTACTACAATTTCAAATGAATTTCCTGAATATTTCTTAAAAATATGCTCTAAAAACATAACTTTACTTTTTAAATTTTTATTTATTTAATGTTAACATGTTTGAATGCCGTTATTTAACTGTTTTCAACATTTTTTACACTTCCTGTAATTGTCATTCAATAGTTTGAAGAAAAAATGAATAATTTTCGGAATTTATAGTTATATACCTAATACCGGTACTTTAGTCTCCATATCACGATACGTATCACGCAATAAAAAATCGCGATATACCGGTATACCGATAAAATCGCGCATCCCTAGTAGTAATGCATATGGAATTTCATATTTTGTGGTGGACATGAATTCATGGGTCTCTCCTTACCTTGAAGACAACAAAAATTAAACCCCAACGAAAATAAGTGATTTCACAGTAACTCTTAATTTGTTTACATTTGATATTCAACTATGTTTTTTTTTCTTAATGTGAATATTCTAGTAATATTAATTGAGTCATTCAATGATCCACAGATATGAGGTCAGGACTAGTGAAGTTGAGGACATTTTCAGCTACTACTCTGACTGGTCTAGTTTGTTTTACAGTTATTGGTGAACCATGCAACCTTACATGTGACAACAAATTAAACAACAAATTAACCTTGGATGAATGCTAACCTCTTGTAATTTCTGGAAGGTTTCAGTTTCATTTTCTTTTTTCATCTTCTCTTCCAAAAGGTCTTTCTCAGAACACACCTTGACATAGAGTTGTTTGACTTGATCCACTTCATGTAAGGCTGAATTCAAATCATTTCTTAAAAGAAAAAAATACATACAAATCCATTTGTAGACAAGCTGTGAAAAAATCTTCAACTATAGAGAAAGTAATACAAAGCATTATGCCATGAATATTTTTTTATGTAAAAGGTATATAATCCTATACTTGTGAGATAATTTAACAAACATAGTAGAATAGTCATGAGTTATCTCCTCCTGATGTTTAAAAATCATTTAGTAATACAGTATATTTTACTCCAGTGTAACTCCATGGTAAAATGTTTTACACATGTCTTAATCTTAGTGCTTCAAAAACATGGAATATAGAAAATGAAGACAACTTCTGCTATTTTTGCCTTATTCAGGTCATTTACACGTGAAAAAAGTCCACTAAATTAAGGCAATGTAAGATCTGTTAATGAAGTATTTCTTTTTTTTTTGTTTTTAATAATTAACTTACCTTAACTGTGTGCATTCCCTCTCATATTTTGTGATCAGGTTGGTTTTCTCTGCTGTGAACTCGTCAATCATGTGAAGCTTCAGTTGTTCTTTGGCTGTCTCATGTACGGACTCGCACGCTCGTTGACACCGATCGAGCGCCTCTCGTTTGTCCTCGTCGTACTCTCTCACCATCTGAGACATCTGCTGAGTTAACTGCTGGTTTATCTCGGACAGCTTCTCCTCACTGGATGCGACCTCCTCCAGCCTCTTTTTCAAATCCTACAAGATAAGACATTTTACTCATTTTTACTGACAGTTTGGACATTTACATATCACTGACAAACAACCAGATGATGTAAGCATATCTTATTTATTGTATGCTGCACACACCGTCTATGAAATATATATGGCTCTGAAGAGGTAAAACTTTGATATGATGCAGAGCGTACATCATATATCAGTGGTTTAATGTTCAGTATGACTGTGTATACTAAGTCTAAACTTTCTATAAATCACTACCATATTAGTATAGCATTTTAATTGCTATTAATACATATTCAACTTAACCATGTATGAAAACTGCAATCAATAATTAACATCAGTATGGATCTTTAGTAATTGACTTTCAATTGTAAGCAAAAATAAGCACATCTCTAACATCAATGAGAAAAAATCTAATGATTCCTAATAAATTCTTAGAACATAACTTTTTTACTGAAAACACATTCATGTAATGAAGAGAATCTCTCCTCCTTTTCCTCTACATCATGGGTGTACCAATTATTACACCTTTTTTTCCCCAGGCCCCTCCATTACCTCTACATCTTCACTGAGGACCTCTTTCTCCCGTTTGAGATTCTTGATGTCCTTTTGTAGGCGGGCCTCGACAGCTGACACCTTGTCATCAGACCTCACTAGCTCCTCCCACTCCTGAAGCTTGGACTATAAATAGACACAGGTATTTGTATAACGTACTGATATGGTGTAGAGTTTAATAAATCAAATAAACTAACACTGATGCTAAATGTATGTTGAATCATAAAACAATTAGTATTTCAGAGTATCAAAGATTTCAATAAAACTGCTTTTTAAGTATTTTGTATCAACAAACTGCATAGAAAGTTTGTGTTTGAAAGTTACATGTAAAACTGAAAGATGACAAACATATCAAGTATTTGCAAGAACAAAATCCTTGACTTGAAAGACATTATTCTGTATTCAACTGGTAAATCTACATAATTATATATAATCTTTAACTCTTCTAATACTCAATGATTTTCATAGCAAATTTTTTCTTCCTTTTTAAATTAATATATCATTATACCTTCAAATCTGTTTCTGATTTCTCGGCTCTTTCACAGCGCATTCGGAACTCCTCTAGTTCCTTCTTACAAGTCCTTAATTCCTCCTGCAGCTTGGTGACTTGAATTCTCTTTTCCTTGTTGCTAAGAAGGCATCTTTCAAGTTCTATTTTAAGATTGGTCACCAGGTCTTGAGATTCTGCTCCTTTTGGCACAGAACTGAACCTGCACATGAGAAAAAAAAATACACTTGTTAAATTATTAACATTTTTTCCTATCATGATTGTAATATAGCACAGAAATAGTTTAAACGATACATGACAAGTTGTAAATAAAATTCTCTTTTTAACTTCTCAATTGAATATTGTTTTTTAGTAAGCACAATTTCTAGATATCCCAAGTAATAATACTGTGGAATCATTAATGTTTGTAAAGGAAGAATTTTCATGGATTTGTGGGTCACCCTTATCCATGAATTCAATTTACATCCCCACAAACAATAATTCTGTCACCCTTTTACTCCATGAATCTTGTGTATATACGAGTTAACCATGAAATCAACCAACAAAATTTTGCTTGCCTACAAACATTGCCCTCCATGAATTAAAATGATTCCACAGTACATCTCAAAAAATAAAACAAATTTTTCTTCCTTACTTGACAGGCTCCGGAGTTTCATCAAAGTCTATTGTTTTTTTGATTCCGAGGTCCATCATAGAGTCGTCATGAATTGTCTCCCTTGTGGTCTCCTGACTGAGCACACCCAGACAAGACGCGGCCTCAAACATGTTCAGCTGTTCCTTCAAGTCCTTAACCTCTTCCTGTAACAGAACATATAAATGTGTTATCTAATATTTACATGTAAATAAAACTTGATTACCATTTCTGTCATTTTTTAAAGCCGCACGTTTTGGCAACCCGTTATCACTGAAGTGTTTGAAATATTTCTCCTTTTTAGGAATTAAAAAGTGTCAAACTTAGACAGATCATAATGAAAACTAAGTGCTAATATCCAAACGAACAGATTTCCATATTTTCATAATAGCAAAACGTGAGACGCATTTTGGACTTAAAATCTGTATATTTACATTTCCAATGTCTTTGTTTGAGATAAAATTTCAAACAGTAAAAATACATTCTTTCAACATAAATTTACTGGTTCATCGATAGGAGTGATGAAAAAAAAATCATGTGCGGGGCGGGACAAATAGAGACAGAAGTGGGGCTTGTACTACGTGAATTTGCAGAATGAAGAGCATGTAAATATAAGGAATAACTATCAGATTTTTTGGTTTCATGATGATGATCAATCGATTGGCTTGCGTGATAATTTTATGCATAAACGCCTTCGGCAGAATGAAGAGCATGTAAATATAAGGAACAACTGTCAGATTTTTTGGTTTCATGATGATGATCAATCGATTGGCTTGCGTGATAATTTTATGCATAAACACCTTCGGCGTTTATGCAAATTCTCACGCAAGCCAATCGATTGATCACATCATGAAACCAAAAAATTAGACAGTTATTCCTTAAATAAAATACGGCAAAATCCTAAGAGTAAACAGGTCTGTGGATTAGACACATTTTCTGTTCATTTTATTTGGCACAATAAACATGATAAATGTTTGTCTGTATGCAATAGGGATAGAAAACTAATTAACGTTTTCCTTTATGCTAATGTAATACTATTGCATTGCCCATATTTGGCAACATACTGTATTTTTGGGGGGCACTGTTTGTAAAAATGGAATTCAAATTTTTGTTAACAGAACAAGAAAAAAGAGGGTTTAAAAAGGAGGGGGGATAAGTGGTTAAAAAGGTGTTGACAAAAATACCTGGTAAGATAGAATCATTTCATCAGCTATTTTCTTAGAGGCTGTGCACTGCTGAAGTTGGATCTTCAACTGACTTGTTTCATGTGAGGAAGCTAAAAATAGTAATATTAACATCACCTATAAAGATGAATTTTCTACATATGTGTTCTTTTTTCCCATATAAAATGCATAAACATTCAGAATTTTTAAACCATATTATCTGCTAGGAAAAGCTCCAGTAAGTTTCTCAATAAATTAAATGGATTAAGGGGAATGTGTGGTTTTTAACTAATAATATTGACAAATGCTATTTTTATATTAAATGTCTAAAAAATAAATTCAATAAAAAAATACCTGATTCTAGGAGCATTCGGCACTGTTTCTGGGAATCTTCCAGGCTGCGGGTCAGACGATTGATCGTCTCGGCTCGTGAGATCTGCGAGTTTTCTGCTTCTTTGTAACTCTCGTTTAGCTTCTGTCTCATCACTGAGTTTTCTGCATTCTGTAAGAAATGAATATATGAATTCAGTGTATCAATCTTAGTTAATTCAAAAGAATAATCCTACCACTAAAACGAATTGTACATGTAATGCTGCTAATGTACCAGTCTGCTTTTTAAATTCGAAAAGATAAACCTTCTTCTCTTAAATGAGATCTTTTCTAAATACAACAATTCTCTAACAGAAAATGGAGGAAATAACTATAAAAGAAATTCAATCAAACAGCTTGTTTCACTTTGAGTGAGATATATTAATCAACTTTCACTGCATGTCCAGTCATTGATATAAAGAGTCTTGTTGCTTTCATGTCAATAGAGAAAGGAAATTCCTTCTGAAAGCCCATGCATTAGAAAACAGGTTTTGTGAAATTGAAATGTTCTTGAATTTTGCAGTAAACTGGTGTTTTTGAGTACCTCCATCAAAGAAATATGTCATTTTCAGCCAATCCCATGATTCAAAATATAAAACAGGTTTAAATCTATAATGCTTAAATTTACTTTTATCATGTTTATTATTATATATTTATAAATTTTGGATAGGAGTTTGTACCCTACTCAACATATTTTAAGACAGCTTAAAATATTTTTCAGGCTATAGGAATGATGACACAATTCAAAACACCCTACTACAGTGCATTTGAAAAGTGTGTCGTTTTAGATAAACATGTAGCCACAAAGTATCCAAGTGATACTTAAAAATTTGTCTTGTAAAATTTTGAAGTTTTTTTTTTCTGAATTTCATAGTTAACATTCAAATGTAGGGCAAAAACTTGTTACATATCATATAGGAAGATTAAATATCTTTAGAACAGATTTTTTTTCCATTTCCGAGTTGTCTCCCTTAGCAAAGATAGAGTCTTTTTTTTTCAATTTGGAAAAATGAATTCTGGCACAATGTCATGTATAGGAATAATTACCAAATCATTGAGTTTATCTGAGAGATCCTCAATCTTTTCTTTGAGAACTTTGACCTCCTTGTCATGTTTCTGTTGGACTCCTGACAAAACTCGCTCATGCTCAACTCGAGCTCTGTTGAGACTATCTGATGCCCCCATCTCAGCAAGCTGTTGGTTCAAAGTCTCTATTGTGGACTCTGCAGTTTGATGGCTCTTTACTGCCTTGAATGATATCAGAAACTTAAAAAATATGCATATTCACACACTAACACACCAACTTTAATACATATGCTCATTAGCGATCTTTATCCCCTCTGCAATTTGTTATATATGTGTGAGGATTACAAGCTGTGAGGGAAGTTTATAAAAAGTTTTTCAGGTTAAATGGAACAATCTTTTCTCAAATTGGCCTGATTTGTACATGACGAAATACAGCAGAATAAACAAAAGCCAAATTTCTATCAACAAGGGATGCTTACTCCTCCATAGCACCTGATCCTGCCTCTGATGTTTTTTGGAGATTCATGTTTGTTCTGCTCCTGATTTGTATTGCTTAAATGGACTTTGAGCTTGAATATTGTTTGTAATCTCCATATCTCATGTATCTAAATCTGAATTATTTACATCAATATGTGGTGTAAACTATAAAACAAAGACTACATTTTTCAAATGGCTTTGTAAATTTAAATCATCTTATCAGTACACCTTAGATACCAAACTGTTTACCACTGATTAACATGATTAAGGAAGTTCTTTAAAGTGTGCAATGAAAATGTACCATTTGTTGATTTTTTGAGAGATTTGACAAGAAATAATAAGGACAAGTATTTATCTGTTACTTTATTTGTGCCTTGATTACTGCAAAATTATTTAAAAGGTAGGTGAAATTTGTAAACTAATCTATAAAAATTACACTGCAGCATTAGCATATTTCTACCATGAAGTCTGAAACTCATGCATAATACCCATGTATTAATAGCGCACACCCCTAAAGATGGGGAAAAATCCTGAAAAAGTGGTTCTTTGAATTCTGTGCATCCAAAACATGCTCATTTTATACGAGATATATAGCAATTATTTGTCATGTTTGTGTCTCGTAGAGGTTAAACATGTTAAAAGTAACAAAAATTAAATGCTTTACAACATTTCAAATTTTCAGTATCTTCAAATATAAAATATTAAACTGACATTATTTTTCATAACTATTCCTATAGTTATATGTCGACAATGTTGATACGATATCGTGATTACATCTGCATGCATCTACATTATTTCCATTCACTATTTTGACATCATCGACATTGCAATATTGACAATATTGATGCAATATCGAGTTTACATAGTCTACATTGTTATTATTTCTACATTACATGTAGACAATGTTGATATGTTATCTAGTGTACATCATCCAATGTTATGATAATGACAATGTGAACTATGTAAACAACAAAACAGAATGCAACATTGAAGCAATGTTGACTTGATATCGTCACACACTGCGATGTCGATGATGTGAACGATGTTAACAATAAAAAAGAATGCACTCGATGTCATTTAATATTGCAAAGAGATAAACAAAGATATTGTCCAACATTGCTATATTGACAAAGTAATCAGAATAAGAGAGTGAAATGTTGACACGATGTCGACTTGATGTCATCCAAAATTGGGATGTTGTTATAGTTAAGTATGCTAGATGAATGAGGAGCAATGTGTAAATGTTTGTTATGAATTTAGAGGTATATATCAGTCTTGGCCAAATCTTTTTTTCAGTACATGCCCTTTGGGCAGGTTTAACCACTTATTATGCTAGCCCGAACAAATATTTACATGCCCAGAATTTTTAAATTAACAAGTAATTTCATTCTTATTTGCCTTTTCATGCCAAGGAAATGATCTGAAATCCATTTTTATCGATCTATTGTCTCGCCATTAATATTGTTTTCAACCTGTCTCCTTTGCAAAAGAGTTCCTTGGAAGTCACGTATTATTTTCAACGTGTATACTTTTTGTGTCTCCTTTGCAAAAGAGTTCCTTGGAAATCACGGTAGAATAAACTATCTTTAAAATTTTATTTGGTGCTCAACTTTAGATGAAAAATCAGACTTTTAAGTACATTTTATGTTATTAGTATTATTTAATTTGATAATACGGAGGCTTAGGCCTCAGAATTTACATGCCCTTCGGGCTTGTAAGTATGCAATTTTCACATGCCCCCTTCCAATTTTACCAGGTCCCGGGCTTCGGACTCCCGGGATTTGTCGAAGACTATATATACAGTGATGACGACAATATCAATAAAACATTGTACACTGGACATACCTCAGAAAATCTGGACACATCCATGAAACAAGAGGTCCATGAGCCACAACACTTACCCAAGTCACTAATCACCCTTCTCATCATCATCAAATTTTTATCCCTATATATTCTGAAGTAAAACTTAGATCACATATTGTGGCACCACTGTATCCCCAGGGATCATGACTTGAACAAACTTGAATCTACAATACCTGAAGATGCTGACAAGTTCATAAATTAATACAACTAATCATGGCTTTGCTGTTCTTGAGAAGAAGATTTTTTTCTGTTATGTTCCTATGTAAAATGTTTGCCCATTGTGGCCTCTCCCTTCCCCCAGATGTCATGATTTGCACAAATTTGAATCTACACTACCTGTGGATGCTTTAGGGCTGGGACGATACAACTTTTTCTATATCGATACCTATCACGATATTTAAGCCACAATACGATATGTATCACGATATGTTGAATTGGTTATATTTTTTTTTTTTTATTGAAATGAACGAAACATTTCTTCACAAGCAAGAATAATTTATTCAAAGAAGCTGTATATCTGTTGTAAAACAAAATCATTTTTCACAAGTGGTATTAATCATTATGTATTTCATATTTATATTTAGCATATCTATTTTATATATTTAACCCAAAATGTTAGGTAAACAAAGAAAAACATAAGTCAGAATTTTTTTGACGATATTTCGATATTTCTGCATAAGTATCAATATGCGTATCATCCTCACATTGAATTAATATAAATTATCGATATCTCGATATAAAGTCCCAGCCCTAGGATGCTTCTATATAAATATGACAATTAGTAATCAAGGCTTTGCTGTTCTTAATTAAGAAGAAGGTTTTAAAAGATTTTTCCTACATGTTCGTAGTATGTTACATTTTGATTGTCCATTGTGGCCCTAACTACCCCAAGGGGTCATAATTTAAACAAACCTGAATCAGATGTATTATACCTGAGAATATTTCCATATATTAATTAAAATATGACTATTCATGGTTAAGCTCTTACTCAAATATATATAATATATATATATTTTTTTTCCTTATTTATATTACTATGTAAATCTTTATTAATCACATGTCATGGCCCTATCCTTCCCCTGTGGGTCATGATTTTTAACAAAATTAAATCAACTCTATATGTTATGAAGTTATCATAATTATTTTAGTGTCATCTTTTTATGTCAGAGGTTCTTGAGCATGTTGAGAAAAAGATTTTAAATTGATGTAATAATCATTAATTTTTAACTTATTCTTAATTATCTCCCCTAGAGAGTGGGCATGGTTATTCATTTAAACAAATTTGAATCCCTTTCACCCAAGTTTAGGATACTTTGTGCCAAGTTTAGTTGAATTTAACCCAGTAGTTCTGCAGAAGAAAATGAATTTTTTAAAATTTATGACAATAATGATAACTACAATGACTACAAATGGTGGACAAACTTTGATCAGAGAAGCTCATTTTTGAGCATTTGGATCAGGTTAGCTAAAAATAAAACATCAAGTCTGATATCTTGTTTTCTCCATTAATATTTCTGCAACTTATTGATATGTCTATCAGCCCCAAACAAAATCAATATTTCAGCTTACTGTCCCAACCCTAAAACTGACCTCCTCCAATAAATCTAATCTGCTCATTAATTCAGAAAATGTATCCTCAGAAGCATTATCCAGGTTTGGTCTACTTTGGTCTTACTTTAACTAGGGAAAGGACGGGGTGGGGCATTGGCATATTTCTTAATTATATAAATTTTGTCAATGTGAGGTAAAAATTCTGATTCAGAATTTCTTTTTAAAATTTCGTTTGTATATCTCTTTTTACTTATTAGTTTTTTGTGTGTAAAACTGTAAGTTTTAAAGTCTTATCCTATTTACAGATTTAAAAATATAATTCAATGAGCATCTTGATATTATAATATTCACATATAAATGCATACAAGCATATATATATATATTAAATCAAAATCATATATTTAAAAATGATTACAATATACCGTATATACTTGCCTATAAGTTGGTCTGCCTATAAAGTGGTTGTATTTTTTAAGCTTTTATTAGAGGGATTGACCAGTTAAAATACCAATCTTTTTATAACTCGCGTATAAGTCGGATAAAGAGTATTGGACCAAAGTTTAACTCCCCAAAAACTGACTTATAGGCGAGTATATACAGTATATATATATATATATATTTTTTTTGGCCTAGGTTAGCTGAGATGATTTTTTTTCTTGTTACAGTTTACAATAAAAATGGGTACTGCCCAGGGACAAGATGTCATTCGCTGTCATATGTGTTCCAACCCTGTGGAACACCACTGTAATCTTTGCCATGTTGACCTCTGCCTCTCATGCATACCAAAACACATGGCTGACAAATCAAGGGAACATGAAGTTGTTGGATACTCTTCAAGAAAAGAAAATACAGTTGTTCTTCCAATATGCTCACATCATAAGAAAAACCGATGTGAGACATATTGCCATGAATGTGAAATACCAATATGTCTTCAGTGTGTGATGGGTTCACACAAAAAGCATGAATTTACACACATTGATGATATTCTTCAAAAACAGAAACAGCAAATTATAGCCGATACAAAAGAACTGGAAAATACCATTCTTCCAAGATACAGAAAAAATAACCTAACTACAACCACTGCAGAGTTTTACAAAGTTCTCTCTGACATAAAAGAGCAAGAGGATGAAATCTGCAGAGCTGTACGTGAAGTGGGCCTTCAACTCACAGATGAAATCACTAAACAGAGGAAAGAAGCTGTAAGAAAGAACAAAGGAAGCCAGTCTTTGGCAGAAAAGGCTGAAAAACAACTCAATCAAATTGTTCTTCAGAACAAAGATATCCTTAGAGGCAGTGATGCCACAGCCATATTAAGATATCAGTCAAGAAATGTGGATTTCCTAAAAGGCCCAGAATTTCCAAGAATATCTTGTCCACGGTTACTCCCTGGTATTATTAAACAAGACCAAATTGTTGCCATGTTTGGTTTACTGAAGACAGGTGATGATCCGAAGAAAATGCCTGTAATGATGAAAATGATTGATAACCCTGTGGTACTAGGCACTATACAAAGTCCTTATGGAGATGATCACTTGCTGTGGCAACTACAGTGTGTAGGGAGTGATAAGATCTTGATCAGTGGAGATGATAGCACAATCAAAGAAATCGACAGGGATGGTTCAATTCTAAAAACAATTCATACAAATGATAATGTGCGGGTGTTGACCACTAATTTACAAATGGAGCCAGTGTTTTCTTTAAGTACCTTTTCACATAAAAAAACTAACATTTACATATACAAGGACAATGTGAGAGTATTATTTAGTATTCCCGGCTGGATTCCTGTTGGTCTATGTTATACAGAAAATGGAGATTTACTGGTGAGCATGCGTTCCATAGATAAGACACAGAGTAGAGTGGTGAGGTACTCTGGAACAACAGAGATACAGACGATCATGTATGACAGTCAGGGACAACCTTTGTTTTCTACTGGTCATTTAAATACACTTCCCCTGACTGAGAATGGCAATAGAGATATCTGTGTTGCTGATTATGTTGAACGAGCAGTTGTTGTGATTGATTCATCTGGGGGATTACGATTCAGGTATCTGGGCAATATCTCCAAACAATCAAAATACGAAGAATTTAAACCATCTAAAATTGTTGCTGATGCCAATGCTCAAATACTGATGTCTGACAACATTAACAACATCATCCATATCATTGACAGTGATGGCAATTTTGTCCGTTACATAGAAAATAAATATATTTATGGAGGACTAAGTATTGATGCTGACCACAATCTTGTTTTAGGAGACTTACTCACTGGAAAAATTCAAATCATCAAATATCTGGAGTGATGGACATTATGAATGTTCGATGAAAAAAAAAAAAACATAACATCTTCATGTTTGCCTTGACTCTGCTTGGTTTTACTATGTGGAAAAAAAAAATCCTCAGTTATGGAGAACTATGTCAGCAATTGAGAATTCAACCATTCCAAGTAGTAAATACATGTACTACATGCACCTCTATAATAGACCTTTATTATTCATTATTTCTGTAAAGGTTTTAGAGGGACCTTTAATTAATTCATTATCATTTTTGTTTTTGCAAAATTCGAAATTAGTGTAAGAAATCTTCAGAAAAATAGACTGTTTCTCAGGCACTGCCGCATCAGGTCAAACACTGCTCCATTGATCAATTTCAGACCTGTTTACTCATATTGTTGTCTCTCAGTATTTTTTATTAGATTTGTCAGTGAGGTTTGGCATTTGCCCGTAAGATTTCATATTCCATCAAATTTACATATATTACTAGAGAACAACTACATTTCTGATTACCAAAACATGGTTTAATAACAAAGAAAAAATCATACCTTGCAGTCTTTCGAGGGGTTTATGTCATTTTTTTTTAAACCATCGCATTTCGGCACCTGGACATCACCTAAATTTTTGAAATCTTTCTCTTTTTTTTAGCGATAAAAAGCGTCAAACTGAGACAGATCATAATGAAAACTTAACTGCTGAAATCCAAATGAACGGATTTTCGATTATAGCAAAACGTGAGGCACATTTTAGACTCAAAATCCGTACAAAATACAGCAAAATCGTAAGAGTAAAAAGATCTGCAATTTTTAATGACAAACTAAAAAGGGAAATAACTCAATTTTCTATTTTTCCATGTTGAAAAAGAAAATGGAGTTATTCCCCTTTTCATTAATGCTAATAGATATATGTTTTTATTATATACACAATATATTTCTTGTTAATATGGTATTTTATAAATTAAATTTGTTGGAATAACATTATTTAAAGTTGAATAAAAATTATAATTAATGTAAGAGAACAAAAAAAAGTAAGAATCAGTTGATATCATCATTTTGTTGAACAACTTATTTGAAAAAAAAAAAGGTATAACACCTGCTTCCAAAAAAAAAAACAAAAACAAAAAAAAAAAAACTTGCCTGCCGCATTGAATTTTGACATTTTTGGCCTGAGAAAATATTAAATTTTTATGGCCTTAAAAGCATTGTGTACCACAGATCAAAGTGTATATAACTGAAAAAGGTTGAAATTTAGCAGGGGGTCTGGGGGTTGCAGACCCCCTGTCAGAGTGGAGAGAAACCCTCCTAGGGGGCCCAGGTCAAGAAGCCCTAGAAAATTAAGCATTTCGGTATTTTCAATGATAATTGGGGGCATTCTAAGTTCACTATAATGCAAATTTCTTGTTTTGTAGTTTAATTTGTATTTTACAATTATAAAATATGAAAAAAATGTTCACCTACCACTTTAAATTTATATTCTATCAATTGTTCATTTATTTATTTCTTGTTTTCTTTTATTACTTAAGTTTGTTTTTTTTTTTTCATCAATATTTTGTTTTTGTGCATCTTTAATGCTTTTGCATCAACAATTTCATCTCTGGTATACAGATATTATCTTTTTTTCTATTGAATGCCACCATACCTAGCCCTAGCCCTAGCAACTTCTGTAACTCAAATGTTCATACATGTACATGTATCTTATACATGTATACAAAAAAACGTGTTTAAAAAGTCCTTTTTCCTAACTTTATTATGAATACCAGTAATAACTTTGATTATTTAAGGTCAAGATCTAGTAAATAAAAGGAGCCTACAGATTTCTCAAATTTGAGAAATAAATCCCTTTAATGAAGCTTTATAAGTATAGCTTGGTCAAATAAGGTGTTTCGGGGCATAATTTGTAGGTAAACAAGATGAAAAATCATATTTTATAAACTGTCAATTTCATTGAAAAATTAAGAAAATCAGTCATGAATATGGGGAGTTTTTTTTCCATATCAGATAAATTAAATGAATCCAGATTGCCTACAGTCTCTCAGAAAATGGTAATTTGTATGTTCTTAGCCTCTTCTTTAAAATAATATTAAATTGAATATAGGTTTCGGGATTACTTTTCACATGATTTCAAATTGAATTCCAGGAAAATACTTTATTTTCTACATAATTCTATTACAGCTGTAAAGTACGGGAAAAAAGAAAGTTTAATTTGATTATGACGTCATAATGGATCTAGCATAAAAAATGCAGTCTAAAATCATTTACTACATCTTGACCTTAAATGGATGAATATTCTGTTGTTCTAATCTCCATGCCCTTCCATGTTCAAGATGTTAACTTACATACATATTTTTGTTTTGCATTTTGTCTTTTTTTTATTATACTATAACCATATTTCTTTGGGAATTTTACATGGGAAATTTGCTTGATTTTATTTAGGTTCTGTTAAATATGATATAAAATGCCTTAGAAGTACTGCTGTCCTAACAACAGAAACCATTTTTCAAAGGCCAAAGAATGAAAAAAAAAAAAAAAAGAAAGGGAGAAATTTCAACAAAATAGAATTCAGTAGTCAGCCTTTTGAGGAAGAAAGCCATCCACAGGATAATTCCATAATCCATTCACAACTAACCTCCTCCTTCCCCCGTTGTAGGGCCTCCACCTGACTCTCTGTGGCCTGGAGTTTCCCCTTTAGCTGGGCATTCTCTGTCTTTGCCTCCACTAGAAGATCCTGGCATTGTTTGAGACTGGTGGATGTTCCCTCCTTCTCACCTAGATAAGAGACACTTATTAATAATGCTCATACGTGTGTCAAAGACCTCAATCTTGCATACATTTACTGAGGTAAATAAGAATATGCAAAATTGACCATAGGTTTCCAATGACGGTCTTATCTCCGTATTTCATCTTATTAATTCATAAATTATAACAGGTCAGAATTTTTAATTGTGTAATAATTGACTATACATGTAGTTTATATGTCTTCAGAGCTCAAGTTTTTCGATATATACAAAATATCTTTTCAGAAAAAAAAAAATGGTGGTGATGGTGTATGTTTTGGTTTTAATTTATATTTCTAAACATGCGTTTTTGTTTGCTTTGTTTGTTTTTTTTTTCTGTGATACAGTAGAAGTTTTATTCACTGTAGTTAATAGTTAAGTCATTACATTTAATGTACTGTACTGTGAGCAAGTTTACATTAATTCCATATGCTTTTCTTAAGAGTTACCTCTCTTGCCCACAAATTGTTTTGGTATTTCATAATGAATTTCTTTCTACATGTTCTAAATAGAAAGAAAAATTCATACTATGACTTTTAATTCCCTTTCTTTTTCATTGAAAAATGAATCTTTTGGTATTTTGAACTATTGATTATTATAACATACTACATGTTTATCTTTTTTAAATGATAAATGTAACAAATTAAGGGTAAATTCAGTGAATATTTTCCATGATATCATTCTGGAAGATATATTATTATCCTTCAGAATAATACCTTCTTTATACGCACATTACTGGAACAGATTAAAACTACATGTATATGTTTCTGCATATGTGTACATGCAAGCACCCTTGGGTGACAACCCTACTCAGGCCTGATAATTTGTGATGTCTATCTTCTTATTTAACAGTCCATAATTATATCATGTTGTTTAGTGTCAATACTGGTTCAGCCATTGAGATTTGGTGAATTTACCTTTGGCCAATGAAATTTGATGTTTATATATGCGGATCTCCCTGCTTGTCTCCTGCTTGTACTGCTCAAAGTCTCGGGTGATTTCCTCCAGTTTGTTTCCTCTGGCTTTGTATAGGATCTGAAGCTGGGCAAACTGTCTGTTGTCAAAAGCCCCAGCTAGAAAATGTGCATAAAAACTAAATAATATCGATGTGAATGGATTATTGCGGAACTTCTTGTATCCCTCATTTATTTTTGGATTTAAGAAGTTTTCAATTTTATCAAAGAGGAAAATATTCCTGTCACAGGTTGTGAAAAATAAAGCCTCCATCAGGATTCAAAACAAGGGCCTCTCATGTCCTGTGCCAGCACTCTAACCAATGGGCTATTGAGACCCAATAAATTTGCTGATTTTTTTTTATACACCTGTTATCTGGATAAGATTCCCATAAGAAATTAAGTGCAGAAAAATAAAATCTAACCTGTTCCAGAACTTTCATGTCCCTCTTCAAGTTTTGGTCTTTTCTCCTTGACCTCTGGCACCTCCTCTTCACTTTCACTTTCTTCTCGGTCTTCTCTACGTTTGTAAGTAACCTGGTATTCTCCTTTGAAATCTTTTTCTGGGGCATTGTCATGAACTGGATATTCTTGTGAAGAATGAACAGGATACCCTGTTGAGACTGGGGTAGCATGAACAGGATGCCCATGTGAAACTGAGGTAGAATTTGTGACATAACCTTGGTCTGACTGTAAAGTGTGTTGGTATCCTTGAGAATGGGGTGTGTCTGAGTATGGCTTGTATGGATTGTCTGTCCTTGGATGTTCCTCTTCATCCTGTCTGTCACTATAATTAAAATTCAAATCAGTGTTCTCTAAAACATTATTCAACAGTTCATAAAAGAATACAGAAAAATATACTAAAAGGTTAAATGAAGTTCAAAAGAATCGTAAATGTATAAATATTTACCTGTAATAGCCAATGTAATGATGAAGATGATGATAATGGTAATGCCCAGGCAAACCCCCAACATCTGAGTGTTCATCTGCCCCTCCCTCTGCTTCTTGTCTCTCTGGAATTTTCCCATACCTAAAATGATCCTCCGAAGTCACATGATGTGGTATGTATGTGTTACCATGATGAGAGGGATCGTAAACATTTGGCTGACCCTGGTGTGAGAACACATTTTGATTGGACCAATCAGGAACCTGGTGAAACTGATGGTGATGATGTCGTTGAGGTCGATGATGATGATTGGATGATTTGGTGCTGCTTTGTTCACTGTTACTATGGTAACCATCACTCTCTAACAAACCTTCATGGGATCTTCTCAAAACTGTTTATAAAATAAAATTGATATGGATACATAACTTATTTCAAACTATGGGTAGGTAATAATTCAACAAACACTACAATATTTTGTAATGAAATCAATAAAATTTTGAATTGTCATAAATATAAATTCTAATTTAAACAGGGGGATAGGAGTCCAATCTCTGCAGGACTTTTATCTCAGTAAATTTACATAAAGCTAAGTGCAAGTATTGATACTCTGATTACAGAGAGATTTAATAATACGTACTTCCCTCTTGAGATGATCTCAGCAGCTCTTGAGATGCCCTAAGGCTCTCTTGAGATTGTCTCAGTGAAGACATTGAGCCATATGGACTCTGTGCTATTGTTGGGAGGCCCCCAAGAGGGGTGGAGGTGGGGAGGGGAAATGTTCTTCTGTTCCATCCTTCCCTGGGAAACACCATTCCAGAAGGCTCTTCATCCTCCTCCACAATGGGTTCCCTGCAAGAATAAAGTCAGAATTAGGTCAAATGGTCAGTTTCCTGCATTTAATATAATAAGCAATAGGTCTTTTTTCTTCAATTTCTATTTTCAATTCAAATAGTTTACATAAAAATAATTTTGTCAACCATTTATTTTTTTTTTTTTTTGTTTCTTCAGCAAATTTTACAGTCAATCAAATCAAAAAGTAGTAAAATCTTACGTATCTTCCTTAGATCTGAAATGGAGGCTTTGATTCCGTGAGTCTCCACCCTCATCAGATGTCACAGAAAACTCATCATCTTCATCAATTAAATCATCAAATGCATCCTTCAGCAAAGCTTTCAGCTATAAATGTATACATCAGAATATATCATTTTGTTTATTTTTTATGATATTTTGTTTGTGTATATTTTATAATCTATTTTTACAGAAAAATTTATTCTGTGTCCATGTTAAGATTTAATTATAAAACAGTATGACACAGGTATGAATTATAGCTTTTATGTAGGGCTGTCACGAGTACCCGAAATAACCGAGAACCACGGTCCAAGTTGTTCGGTTCGGTTCCGGTTCCATTTTTCTGGATTTCGGTTCGGGTCTGGTTTATATATTAGAGTCTGTTCAATACAAAAAATGGCGTCGAAATCAAAGGAATGATGACGATAACAGTGATAAATAAACATCACAACTGAAATCTACTTCATTCCAATGACAAAACACGTGTCACGGAAGTATTAGACAATTATCAAAACGAGCAGGAATGGTCAGGTTGTGGCTACCGTATATACTCGCCTATAAGTCGGTCCGCCTATAAGTCGGTTGTATTTTTTGAGGTTATTTTGGAGGAATTGGCCATTGACCCGCTTATAAGTCGGTGCAACTTTTTGCAAGAATCAGTTGACAATTTCAAATGAATGCTCTACTGTCTTAACCTGGTTTCGATTAATGTTTTTAGAAATGACGCAGATATTTAATTTTAAATCATCAAGAAAAAGACTAATTGCACTTAAGATAAAAATAAAGTTATTAAAATATGTAAATACTTGTACTTTATGTATAATTTTAGAGTACACAAATGATATAATATATCCAGACTTTGTTCAACGATAATCCTTGGAAATGTTTATAGAATACTACATTTTGCTGTCAAGAAAAATACCAATCTTTCTATGACTCGCCTATAAGTCGGACATAAAGTTTTGGACCAAAATTTAACTCCCAAAAAACCGACTTATAGGCGAGTATATACAGTAATAGTAGGCCAAGTCACCGATGTCTAGACGTTCGCATGGTTAAGACTTGTTTTCAATGTAAATTTAATGTAACAAATAAAGATTTTTCAAGATAAATTCATGAAATTAAGGTTTAAAATAGATGTCAATACCCGACCCGGAAAACCCGAAACCGAACCGAAAAATTACAGAACCAACCCAACCCGAAAAATTTTGGAACCGTGACAGCCCTACTTTTATGGAATGTAAATTACAGACCGTAAAACATGCTACTACACCTCAGAAACGAACCGTACCGTTCCGTGCAAGAAGCGTACCGTACCGTGCAAGAAGCGTACCGTACCGTGCACAAAGCGAACCGTACTGTACACAAAACGAACCATACTGTTCAAGAAGCCTACCGTACCGTGCACAAGCGAACCGTACCGTTCATGAATAATTTTTGAAATAATTATGCAAGCCACGCGCCGATCTTACAATGACCAATTACAGTAAGTATTTTTTTTTATTTCTTTAGACGCAGCGCCCGTTAAAGAAGGATGGAAAATAACCTTAGAAATTCAAAATATTATTATTTAGTACCGTGCATCTGGACTTACATCTGTTGATTATAAGGAAACTACCCAAAACTAGTAACAACTTCAAAACAACTCGACAGAGTGTGAGGGGATTCCTTATTCACTATGCATGATCAGGTTATGCTTGACTGACTTTTTTTTTTCATATCAAATGCAGCATCGTGATATTTTCGTGTACAATTTATAATAAATAAAAGTGAATTAAGTACTTTATCATTTATTTCTATAGCTTTTATTTACCCTATTCTTGTCTCTTTGAACGTTCTCGGAAACCAAGACAAATTGAAAAATGTATTAGGATTCTATGCTATTTTCCGAAATCAAGCCCTTAGTTTCATTTTTTATTCATGTAAGTAATAGTTTTAGGGAGAAATGATTACAGATTTAGCAGGAAAAAAAAATAAAAAAAACCAAGAACTGAATTGTCAATTTGAAACCGGACATGTTCAAATGTAAACGCCTCTCAATCACTAGGGAAAAAAAAGGCCTATAAATAACGTGTGTTGGTTTGCACTCTTCTGACCAACCTAAGATGTTATTGCCAATATAACATAATGTCAAAATGTTCAATCGCCACATTTTCGCATGGAATTTTCAGTTTAATACACGTAATCAAAAAAAAAAAAAAAAAAAAAAAAAAAAATGGATATATTTCAGAATTAATTTTTATTTATTTGCTTCATTCACTGAAACCTGCAGGTAAAATATTTTACCTGGAATTTACACATAAAGCATGGCCGTAGGAACCGGGGGGGCACGGGGGGGCTATGCCCCCCCAATAATTTTGCCGATATATAGATTACTATAGTAAACATAGATACTATAAGCATGTGCCCCCTCAATAAAACCGCCTGATGACCCTTTTTTTTTTTTTGCTTGTCAAGGAATATTTGGTAGTTGACGACCTTTTTTTTTTTTTTTTTTTTTTTGCTTGTCAGAAAATTTTTGGTAGTGCCCCCTCAACTGTCAACTGAAAAATGTTTGGCTGTGCCCCCCCCAAACTGAAATTGCTTCCTACGGGCCTGTAAAGCCCAGCTTAATCTTTTTTTTTTTTTAATGCTTAGTCCGTGCATGCATGTTCATCCAATTTTTTTTTTTTTTAAGAAACACTGTACATTTCTTGCCATGGTCTTGTTATCTAGACTGACATCTTTCTATGTTGTCGTTATTTACTCTAAAACATTTGAAAATCTCGATCAAGTATTGTCATCACACGTGCACAGATAAAAACTTAAACTGTGTATATTGAACCGTATCTAATCCCGTTTGTCTAGATATGCCTACATTCACATGTGTATCAACAGTTTGCTGTCTTATACAGTAAGTCTACAACAATGAACCAGTTTTAATCAGCAGGTAAGTAGAATTTCATGTGCAGTCAGCTTTTTTTCTAGATCTTTAATAAAAAAAGTTTGGGTTTGACAAGGAAACAAGGGCGGGGGGGGGGGGGGGGGGGGTTAGCACCCGGCATGGGCAAATTATTCATTTTCAAAGTTTTTGAGGACATACATGGCTGCATATTATTTATTTTCTAGGTAATTGAAAACGGACTATTTCTAACATTTTGACATATTATTTATTTCGGAAATCTTTCTTTGCAGTCAATATATATATTATATACATTTATACATTGTGTAAAGGAAAACAATTATGCGCACAAAAATTAAGTAATATTTTGCACTAATTGTGTGCACTTCTACCGATTACTTTTCAATGTTTTTTTCCTAGTGAGCCTAAGCAATCTGTGTAAAAAAAAAAAAATAAAATTCCTCGCAAATAAATATGAAAATAATAACTTATTTTTTAATTGTTTGTTTGATCATTCGGTCAAGAGAAAATTTGTTTGTTTGTTTGTTTTTTTTTAATGAAGCAACAGCGACAAAAACGTAAAAAGAATGGTAGACGAAATGAAAGCATGAGGGATTTATAAAATCAAACTCATTTGTATAAAAGTGTGATAAGTGAATATTTAAACTAATACTTGTATTCAATTAGGAAAATTAAAAGAAAAAAAAATATGTATGCTTATTCTTAAAAAAAAATTACAGAAAGGCCTTTATGGCGACACAACCATAATATATTTTTTCATCCTTGTTATGCAGTGCTTGTTGATATGTTCAATTTATTTCAAAGTTATTGAACCATAAGGCGATGTTGTACAAAATGATAATAAATAGACAGCTTAAATTATTTTATTTTAAAAATTGAAAGTAGTTCATACAGAAAGTAAATAAAAAAAGATACAGTTAATTAATAAGACGACAAGTTACATGTAATAACGAAAATACAGCTGTAAAAAGGAAATATTTATAACAGCTTTGACTTAAAAACAACTTATTAAAAATGCTTGCGATACCGTCCTTCCATTTATATAAAATAAAGAGATTATAATACAGAAATAAACGACTTTATGAAGTAGCCAATCATAAACTAAAGCATACAGGCTCCGCCCACTTAATTTACATACCGTTAACCAAAGTGTACCGTTCACAAAACGAACCGTTCCGTGCAAGAAGCGTACCGTACCATGCACAAAGCGAACCATACCGTTCACAAAGCGTACCGTTCCATGCAAGAAGCGTACCGTACCGTACACAAAGCGAACCGAACCGTGCAAGTGGTGTAGTAGCACGTTTTAGGGTCTGTATCATTAACTGTTGATGTCTGGTGTCTTAAACAATATTGTGTCCAATTTTGACACTTTTCTCTACCTGTAACAAAAGCACATACAGATCTCTTATATCATCATACACAGCAGGGTGAACTTTGACCTGAAGATAACCTTGACATGTACACAAATCTGACCTCTTATTCAGATCATTTAACACAGTGCTCAATGTTTCCCTTTCCAGTGCCAAACTGAACATCATGGAATTCCATGGCAACCAACAAACAATTGAATTTGAATAAAATCCAAAACATAAGTAGAGTTCAATTCAAAATATAATCCTGAATTATTCTGTCAGGGAATTGGGAAAAAACCTCAACAAATTTCAATTTTTTCATATCACACTTCCCTATGGAAAAACATTTTCTGATAGGTTCCAAGGAAAAATATTTAACAAATCCAACATGATCACATGTTTTCCATATATCATGATTTCCAAACAGAAAATGTTGAAGTTATATATATTCCATATTATTTTTTTTAAAATGCGGTGAGAAAGATGTATTCTGCAAAGTTCAAAACAGACTTTTACATTGAGATCTTAATTGCTCTACAACTACCTGACTGTGTCTATTACATCAACAATCAAACAATCATTAATACCCTTTTCTCGAATCGGATGAATTCTGATTTCAGTATACATCAACTGCTTTCATTAGATCGTAGCTTCACTGCTTGGAGCATTATTTTCAATCTCTTACAGAGTCTGGAAAAAGGATTAGGAGCTAGCATTTTGATTGAAACAATTAATTAGCATCATGTTGTTATGGTAACAATCTCCATCAATAATCACTCTATGATTGGGACATCTTAGAGAAAATGACATTGAGAAGACAAGGGAATTAAGACTTAAGTCAAACAGGCTTTAGAAAATCCAGGTCTAAAAGGTCATACATCTGTCCACAGTGAAACACGTTGAATCTTTGAGAATATTATTCATTAACTTCAGATATTTATAAGACCTGCGAAAAATAAGTCGTGATAAGCATCATATCTCATATTACCCTGTAATATTCAGACCTAAACTATATTTTCCCCCAGGAGAATACAACTATACAGTATTGATGTGTACACTCAAGTATACATGCTTGATCTTAAGAATCACACTTTTATTAAATACCCTTATAATTTGAAATTAACCATGATCAAACTGCAAGGGGGAGGGTGAAGAGAGAAAGAAGGATGAACAAGTAGATGTACAATCAAATTCATAAATTTAAAAGAAAGAAATATATAAATGCAATGACCCAACGACTCCTGTCCTTTTTGACCCCATGCAGATACTGACCTCATTTTGTTGCTGTTCATTTTCCCTTTGAAGCTCCTTCTCCTGCTGACTCTGAAGGTCAAGGCCATCAAAGTTCATCATACTCAGACCCGGATTCAATGCACTTCGGTCTGTACTCATCTTGTACCTTGACCTCTCTCAACGACCTTGAGCTTCATCAGTCACATGGCTGATGTCAAACTGCAAATGAAAAAAATCTTTAAGACAAAGAAAGTATAGGAATGTATCCTCACATCTGGGACCCTGAATTTGCTCATGGCCATGGGACACCTGACAAACCTGAAAAATTTTATTTAATTTTTTTTTTTGAAGGCTGAGGCCATTCCAAAGTTTTCTATGTTTAGCATCCGCATGCACCTTGGTTTTTGTTACCAAATACCAGAAAAAACAAACAAAATCAAGAGTCATATGAAATTGATAATACTGGTCGAAACATTTCTGACACCTGTAAGTGTGAAAGTCAAAATCCCACATTTAGTTTGGATCACAAAAGAAGTAGATGTACATTCCCCCCCCCCCCCCCCATGATGAATTGTATTTTTTTTAAAACATTAGCTTTTAACTCTCTATGAATAGGCCGAGTTTTTGATAGAAAAGACTGTATTCAGAAAAAAAAAATGAAATGTATTGATAAAAGCACAAAATTTTAACAGCTTTTAATTGTAAAACAATACCTTATTCATTAATTTTCACTTTTCATGTAAGCAAATTTATTCAAATTGTACTTGGGGTTCGTTGCCACTATGCTCTCAGTGATAAATATGCAAGTTTTACAATACATTTATTAGGAAAACCTACTAATAAATAGTCTTTTGATATATAAATATATTTACAACTTAAAGTGTTATTAATGATTTACCATTATTTCAATAACCATTTACAAAAAGCTTTTTTTTTATGTTCATGCACCTATAATCGCCTCGTTTTCGGTTTAAAAATCGAGATCATGCAATATGATGTTCTAGAATATTAAGATTGGTGAATGATGAAAATAATTTGTACATTTCCCTTTTTAATCGGTTATCACAACTATTTCTTTCATATCATTCAAATCATTTTTTAATTGAATAATTCAGTGATGACGTTTTATGAAATAAACAAACATTTGCTTGTTGTCAGTTTCATTAAAAATTGCCAGTAACTTAGATCAATTAACCTGAACCACCACCATACTTACGATTTTGCTATTTCATGGCTGTTTCCAGAAAATGAAAGTAGACTTTAAATTTAATGTACGATACTTACTATGCGAGTGGAATCCGAATATAGTTTACGGACATCATCTTGTATCTAGTGTATTCTTAGAGGAGTAAGTAAGAACTCTGGTGCACCCGTTTCGGAGTTTATTTGCAAAATTTATTAATTTGTAAATATAGATTTTCACAGAGCAAAACCCTTTGTCTGACCATCAACATGATCTAGCACCAACTGAATACACCACCAATGACATAAAAGCTAGAGATTTTTAATGTAGGGACTCCAAACAAAGCAGATAAATATGTCCAATCAGGGTTCGAAATTCACTATATACAACTTGCAAAACGCGAGTTAGAATTCCCCAATTGCGAGTTAAAAATTAGGTAACTCGCAAAAACTTGCGAGTTGATTTTTTTTGCATTGAAACTGTAGCAAAATTATATAATATGACAGAACACAATGCCTTTGATTTAAATCAGTAATTTAAATAAAAGTCACACTGTAGCTGTATTTTGTGTATTGTACAGTAGTTACTTTTTCCTTAAGTTACATGTATTTAATTTATATAAATTTAACTTTGTATGAAAATTGCGAGTAGTCTTATAAAATTGCGAGTTCACTTTCTTGGTACTCGCAATTATTTGCGAGTTGTAATTTTAGGGAGTTTCCAACCCTGTCCAATGTAGAAAAAAGGTTATTATCTGGTCAATAGCAAATTGAATGTAAAACCATAGGACCATTACTTTGAAATAATCATGTCATGTTTACATTGGTTTAGGTATCAACATGATGTAAACATTGGTAATTTATGAAATATACTATCAAAAGATAACCTTTTTTTATTATTGTGTATGGAATTTCAAATTTCACTCTCCATGCAACATACAATCAACATACATATTGGTACAAGTCAACCCCCCCCCCCCATCCCCAATTTATTTTACTTCACTGACTGCTGAATAATCTGACTGATCTCTCTCAAAACCATAACTTGTCAGCAATTTATTTTGCAATATTTACACAGACTCTAATAATCTTACCATTCAGACAATAATCATTTCGTGGAAAGAAAGACTCTCTCTCCTTTTCAAAAAGTCATACATAAAACAAATCGTGCTTCAACGTGAAGAATTTAAATCCCAGACTAAAACAGGAACTTCTCAGCATGTGCCGACATGTTTTCTGAGCCGCGGTTGAAACCCAAACAGTCGCTTCTGCTCGAAAAATCTTGGCAATAAAAATATTCTACAAAATCTATCATTTAATCTGACAAAAAGGCTTCCATTAATTTTTCTTTTAAAGGTAATTAACTATGTAGGAAAAGTGAAAACGTGTGCTTACATTCTTTATCCCTTCGAAGATAGCGCCATTTGACAACATATCCCATAATTCTTGAAAGGGAAGTTAAGCAAGTGACGACTAATTAGGGGAAAGACATCTCAAATGAATAGACGGAGTTACCGCTCATGGTATGTATATTTTGTAATTTCGTCATAAAAAAAATGAAAAAGAAATTTTAAAATAGAAAAGAACAATCCGATTTTATTTGGTACCATTGTTTAATAAAAATGAATGAAGTTTGTTTTTTTTTGTTTTGTGTGTGTGTGTGTGTGTGCACTGTCCTTTAGGCTTATTTATTTAAATCACACATGTAGTACTAGGCGTTACTAGCCATATATCAAACGTAAACAAATGTAAAATCTTTTTTTTATTTTTTGTTGACAAGCGTAATTTTGTGTGTGTTATTTTTTGCTTTGTACAAAGATTTTACTGTTTGGACGTATTCAACTCAGACACAGGTCCTGACTTGATTTCCTGCAAGAGACCCATGGGCCACAAGGCTCATCTGTGTAACTGGATCTGACAGTGGCGGATTCAGAAGTTAATGTATGGGGGATTAGAGGCCCGAAAGGGTCAGAAGGTATTGACACGTCCCTGACTGATGTTCTTCAGATTTTTCCCTCAACCCCCCCCCCTTTTCCCATGCAAAAATGACCTACATGTAGCTGTATAGAACTGTACATACATGTATAGCGTACGTTATGGTTTTATATATATTTTTTTGGTTATTGACCATTACGCTAAAGATCCGGTAATGCAAATATGATGCAATTTACGACGCAAGTTTTTCTGCGCACGTTCTGGGGTGTGTTTCTCCATTTTCCAGCATTGGTCAATCATTTTAATTACTACTTTCCATTCCCTATATATAATTCTATACATACTCTATAATTAACCAGTCTGTATATTCCATCCACCTCCCATGACCGTTAATAGTCGTCTCTACACACCAATACATTCGTTTTTTTTTCTTGGTCAGCTAAAAATGATACACATTATGACCCCTATATAGCCTAGTCCAATTACGGGTCATGACGTACTAAACCAAACTGTAATCCACACAACATGATCATGTCTTGCCATGCTGTTCTTAAAAAGATTTTTAAAAAAATTCCCCCGGTATATACATACAAATGATTAATGATGTAAAATTATTTTGACCCCTGATTTAAACCGCACGTACCTTAAACCCACATAATTCATGTAATTTGTGGGGGAAATTGGATCCAGGCAACTTGGGAATGTGTGCGTATATTTCTGTGAATCAACACTGGACCTCATGCAATTTAATTTTCTCGAAGTTGTTTTGTATTCTTATGTAAATAATTAATTGTATCCTCTATTTTACATGTAGCCCTGTCCATGCCGCAGCGGTGCCAATATCAATTTTATATGTGAACAATATATGAATTATCCTGGCTGCACATGCAACACTGTACATATAATACAATCACGACCCACTGTTTCTTGATTGAGATCATGATGGTACATGTATTTTCTCTTTGCATGTATAGCATGCATATAGCCTCTATTTTATTTAAATTTTTTATCGTATTCGATCCCACCAGAGCCATAATTGAAACAAACCTGAATCTGCACTTCTGTATCTTTTATCTCAAGCTCACCGGGATATATTGTGTCGACATAAGAATGGAAATGTCCATTGTTAATTGACAATACGTCGTTGATATATCTAAATGTCGAGTTGAAGTCCACAACAAGTGTTTTCCTCATTTCACCTAAAAGATTTTGAACAAATTTTGCTTCATATGAATACAAAAATATGTCTGCTAATAACGGGGTGCAATTGGTACCCATGGGAATTCCGATAGATTGTTGGAAGACCAGGTCTCCAAAACACACAGATATTGTCAATCAGAAACTCGAGCATCTTTTTAATGTCAATAAGAGTACTTGTGTGTACAATCAGAGTGCTTTTTCACAAAATAATTTTGTAAATGACCAATGACAAGGTAAGTAAATTTACGAGTTCCATTTTTATTGAAAAAGCAGCTGTCAACAATGTCAGAAAGTCTGGACTATAATTTATCTTGGGGAATGGTTGTGCATAAAGTTGAAAAGTCATAAGTTTTTAAGCTGTTGATATTGGTAAAATCTTGTGATTTCAAATATTCACAAAGTTCCTTGGACTTTTTAAGTATCCACATCTGATTTACACCTCTTCTCGAATATATTGTTGCACAGTACTCTTGAAGTTTCTCCTTCACCGGTGTAAATAACCCTCACTTGGTTTTTATATCTGAGTTATTTATAAACTAACAAGAACTCTTAAATAAAAAAAGATTTTGGAGAGCCACTGAGGAAAACCCATTTGTGAAACTTCATTCTGCTATAGATTTATATTTTTTTTATTATGTCTGCGTGTGTGTGTGTGTGGGGGGGGGGGTTAAACGGTTTCTCATTATACGGGGGAGGGGAGATCTACATGTATATCAAAATTGATTGAAACTTAACAATGGACATTTTTTTCAATCTTACTTATATGATGTACTTTGCGGCAGTGCCGACAAACATGATTGTTATATATACGTACATGATATAGGCCTAGATCTTCGAGAAAATGAGGAAGGTATTCAACAAGGTCTTGTCTGGTGTATGAAAAGGACGAAGACATACAAAGAAAAGTACTTAAAGTCGAGAACTTTATATGCATACCGTTTTGAAATAGGTAAAATAAAGCCTATCATAGTCCGTAGATGTTATATGTTCAAATTCGCGAGGTAAACAAACTCTACAAATAACAAAGAGTGACCTCCCGGCATATCGAGATTGTGCAGGAACTTTTGAATAATTAATGAGAAGTAAATCACGCGGTAGCAAACTCATAAATAATCTGCACACTAGTATGTAATAAATTTGACATTTCTGGCCTAATCAAGTGGATTGTGGTGGTGAGTTCTATGCTACTTTGTACTGAAATTTACATTCTTTGTATCATACCTAAGTAGCTATTGCATTAAGTATAATTAGTCAGTAATGTTGATGTCGTAATTTGCTGATGAAATTGATGCTGAGTCCTCATATATACGCTTCCAAAATAGTCACATGATTAAAACAAACTGAAAAATTGTCCTTTATTGAGCCCCTCATAACTACTTTACGTATATTTTATATAATACAAAGAAAATAATGTGACGATAAATGTCCTTTCTACATGTAAGACAAAAGCTTTGAATTTTAATTCATTTGCACTATAAAATAAGTTCAACTAACAAGCTGTAATAAAACGGAAACAGAATCCACGGCGTTATAGTACGTACACATCAGTCGTCTTACGCTACACATTCAAGTTCCAAAACGTTTAATCAAATAAATCAAACAATATTAAATCACAATTCTGTAAGAAAGTAACATTCAAGTATCATGCAATTATAAGTACTTGATAACACAGACAGTGTCTGATCAATTGTAAAACGATAGTATGTATGTCACATGACCATTTCCTGCGTAAAAAAGATGGCAGACAAGTAAGGTACAACATGTGTTACAATACCAAAACAAAGTAAGTAAATTCCAGTCGTAATATGGGAGATAATTTTGACAACCAGATATAAAATCTTAGTATCACTGTCTCTTACTGTCTATTCAACAATATGTCACTAGATCGTGTACCTAGTAATACAGTAACAACATCTGTTTACATGACAACGTCGAAGTGCAATGTGTATTGCATCAATAATACTAGAGCTGAGCTTGTTGCAAAGCAACGAGTAGGTCTTCCGTTGGAGCTGCAGGCAGGAAGAAGTGACCTTGAGTCAAGGTCATGCTATATCATAAGGTTATAAGCAATCTTGTAAGAGGTATCAACTAACAATGTTTCACTCTGTAGTATAAAGATGATAAAGGAATGCATGTGACCTTGAACTTGTCCAAATGACCTTGCGAAAGCCATGACACACTCTGGTTATGAGCAAACCCCATCTGTGTATTACTAACTTCTCAAATTCACACATGTTCATACAGTCCATACATCCAGTCAAAATATCTTATCCTTAGTGACCTTGAACTTGAGTTTAGGCCATGTCACACTCTGCATGATACCAACAATGTTTCACTAGAAAAAGACGGTAACGAATTTAAAGCTTCTCATCCAAACTCATCCAAATGACCTTTCATCAAGATCATAACACACACTGGTTAAGAAAAATCCCAATCTGTGAGCTATTGACTGGATAAGGTTAGCCATGTTCTTTCAGACCATAGATCGAGTCAAATAATTTATCAGGTTCCACACAATGATTTAAGGATTCATTGTGAATGTTTCTGTCCAGTTTGGATATTGAACAAGACATGTTTGTGAAACACTGATGCCCCGGTATTGCAGCTTATGGCAAAGGTTTAAGTTTCTCAAATCCGTATCCAACTCCAAGGTCAAAGTCAAGAGATAAGAAATTATGTTACCCAAAGAAAGATCTCGTCTCAGTGAATATAACTGTGAAATATGAAACTGCTATAAGACTAACTATTGAAAAGCATGGCAAAGGTTAATTTTTTTTTATACTCAAGTCAAATGTTAAGGTCAAGGATAGATTAACGGTGTCCAAAGGAATGCCTTGTCATAAGAAATAGACATTGAAATATGAAAGCCCTAGCATTAATTATTCAAAAGTTATGACAAAGGTCAACGTTTTTTTTTCAAAAGTAGGTCAAACCCCAAGATCAACGACAAAAGTCAAAACTGTCGGTACTCAAGGGAGGGTCTTGTCACAAGAAACACACATGTAAAAATATGAAAACCCTAACACCAACCGTTGAAAAGTTATGAATGAGATTAAAATGTTTCAAAGGTAGGTCAAACTCTAAGGTCAAAGGTAAAAAGTCAAAACTTTTAATTTTTTTTAAAGTACGTCAAACTCCAAGGTCAAGGTCAAATAGTGAAAATTGTTGATATTCAATGAACAGCGTTTTCACAAGGAATACACCTGTGAATGTGAAAACACTAGTCCCAACCGTTCAAAAGGTATTGCCAAGGTTAGATTTTTTAAAAAGTGGGTCAACCTCCAAGGTGAACGTCACAAGGTCAAAAATATTTATTC